TTAATGAGCAGCAGCTGGAAGCTAAGATTCTTGTGGCAATCTGGTTGAAGTACATTTGTAATCTGTCTTGGAGGGCATTAAACAATAAGCAGTGAAGTGTTACAGACATCAAGGTTCAGTCTCCCCTGCAATGGGCTCCATCTACAACTTAACATACGCAAAACACACTATGCATAAAATTAAGGTAAGAACACCAATTCTTACCTTAATTTAAGAGACCTGCCCAAGAGCAAGGCTCCGGACTTCCCTGGCTAGCCTTCCTAGCCCCGCAGAACTGCTGTTTCTCAGGGTGGCCACCAGGTGGCATTGAGGCCCCGGTCAAAAATGTTCTCAATGGTTCCCCTCTATCATCCCTCACCTAACAGTCTCTCCGTGTGTGACTGACATGCCAGCATTCACACCAGTCGTCCTGGGAGCTAGCCTGGGACTCGGGGCTGCTTCCGTGAATTCTGTGGGTGTGATGTCTGCAGACAGTGCTCCTTGAAGGTTGCCTTCTTCCGAAACAGGAGCATCTGAGGGACGCAGAGCAGTCTTACAGAATCCAAAGACTGCTCCCATGAGCAGCTGGCTTCACTGCCTCAGTTTGAGTATTGGGATGGTGGTCTTGGCCATAGTACTCCTTTGGGCTTATTGGCTCTGCCCTCCCACTAGGATGCTTGCCTGTCTCCACAGCAACTGTGCTATCAACATCTTTGAATTTGAACTTGTTACATTGTTGGTTTAGTTTTCTTCTGCAACTTGCAATCTTTTTTTTTTTTTTTTTTTTTTTTTATTTTTGTCCTTATTTTTTTTTTTTCACCTTTTCTTGCCCAGGCTGAACATCTAGAATGGACTTCGAGCATCCAGGAGTGATAAGTCTCTTGGGTTTGGGGTCAGTGACCAGGTACTCATTAACCTTCCTGTGTCCTCAGGCCACCCTCCCGTCAGCTCTGTGTGTGCACCTAAGGATCCATCTTGAAGGGGCTGGTGGCAAGCCATCACGGTGAAAGCCGTGGTGGTGATGGTGATGGCTCAGTGAAACAGGAGACTGGGCCCAGAGTGGTGGCTCTGTCTGTCATCTCAGCAAACATGAGGCTAAGGCAAGATGATGGAGAGCTGGAGGCTAGCCTGGGCTACATAGGCTAGCCTGGGCTACATAGCCAACTGCCCACACCTTGATCTCCTTTCAGCTACCAGGGTCAGCAGAGCCTATGCCTGTCATGTAAGCCTTGATCCATTGTCCTTATGTTAGGTCTGGGAATCACTAAAGGAAGACCTCTGACTCAGTTGGTATGCAAAGGTAAGGAGCGTTTATTCTGCAGAAACTGCCAGCATGCTGGGGCCACCGTTCATAGAACGACAACCCTGAAGTGAGCAAGCAGGCTTAATTTAAAGACAGTTCGGGGATTTCCCAGTGTGGCTAGGTAATCTTCCCATTGATCCGTCGGTGCTGATCTAGGGGTCATGGGGGAACTCACGATTGGCTCTACAATTGGAGGACATCAGGGAGTGTGCCCAGGTAACAGAGTGCCCAGGTAACAAAATATCATTTTTGAATAGCTAGACAAAGTAGTTTTTTTTTTTTTTTTTTTTTTTTTTAACTGACCTTTAATTTGATTGGTCAAAAGTGCTTGGGGACTTTACTAAGTTATTGTTTCTGGTTTTCGGGAGGTTATTGAGTTATTGTATCTGGTTTCCACTGACTGTAGTTTCCTGTTGGAGAAATAGGAACTCAGGCCTGTTCAGTCTGAAGCCAGTTTTGAAGCCTGTCATGGAGTCAGACTGGCTTATTAAAGATCATCGCCCTCACTCATTATGCAGTTCCATTTCACCTGGGGGAAGGCGGGCAGAGCTGCTCTGGAGCCTGAAGCTTGAGGCACACCCCGCCTGCCTCACTCCCGCCCCCGCCTGCTACTCACTCATTCAGTTAAGTTCAGGCCTAACATGAGCAGTCCTTGTTCTGGATGAATGAGACCAACCACCCACCGACTGACAGGAACAAGGGATGCCATGACAATCCCACAGGAGCCAAAGAAAGTGGGGTGAGGGAGGGCCACAGGGACAGCGACCTGCCCCACCTAAAGGGAGGAGGCCACATTTCATTCCTTTCAAAATACCAGCTGGACTCAAGGACAAAGTGAAGCAGGGATATTATGGGTGGGTGGGGGGCACACAGGAAGTCCAAGAGGACGGAAGGAAGAGGTGGCTGGAGATTCCCTTGCTGCACCTCTGTACATATGAGGCAAAACAGATGCTTGTGTTCCTTCAAAGAGCCTGTGTGTGGGTGGCTTCGGAGGCCAGGATCTGGGCTCAGGGTCCAGGTAGGGAAAGGGAAAGGGCTCCATTTCATGGAGGTTCATGGTCCCTGTGAAAGGGGGCTGGGGGGATTGACCTGAATTGGGCTCCTCTTTGGACCTGTCCAGAGAAGCACTCTGGTGATGCCAGGCCCTTTATTGTCTTCCAGGATTCCCAAGCTGAGGCATGGGGTGCCGGTGCGGCCCTGTGAGGAGAGGCCAGTCCATGGCTGGAAAGGACTGAGGTTGGCCTCTCCCTCCACTTTTGGGGAGGGATTGCTTGGGGAGAACTCTGTTGAACCATGTAAGCGTGTCCATGGTGGTGTCTGGGATTACCTGGACAGCTCATTGGCAAAGCCCAGCCTCCGGGGGTAGTCTCCAGGGGTTCTAGCTCTTCTTCTTGTTGGTGACCTTTCCCAGCAGAACATCTCATAAGGACAGTAGCTCTGTGTTTCCGTCCCACCTTCTGGGAACCTCCCTGCCTAGCCATGGTGAACAGAGACAGAGTGCTCGCTCCCATACAGGCATGCCCACGCCCACACCCACTCAGGCAGAGCCCTGTTCCGTGTGTCCAAGTTTTACCATGTGCATATCCGAGCCCTTCCTTCCTCTGTGCAGCTACCGTCCACACTGGGACGGCACTCAACCTCCAAGTTAGGTTGTCCCAGCACACCGGTGACACTCAGTTTCTGCACCGAGGGGGAGTTCAAGCGCAGCTGGTGAAAGATCCCCGGAGGGTATCTTCCGTCAGAGAGACCCCCTCCCAAAGAACAACGAGTCCCTTCGGATGCAAACAGCAAGAGGCTTTTATTTTGATTCACGAGTACTCGGGGCAGCAAGGTCACTCGGGAGAACCTTGCGCGCCCCCTAGATGGGAAGCTGGGGTTTTTATAGGGTTTTAGAGGCAGAAGCACTGGTACAGAAGCGAGAGGGCATGGTTACAGGGGGCTGATTGGTACGTTTACACGAGACCACAATTTGCGTCAAAGTTTGGCAGGGGCACCAAGATTCCAGGAACTGGGTGGTCAAGGGGGGTAGGATGACCCCTTGACGTGGCCCGCCACCTGTTATTTTGTTTTTCCCTATCTTAGCTGAAACAGTCTCACAGATATCTATGAGAGTGATTAACACAAACTGTTTTTAGTATGACTGGGGCAGCCTGACCACAGATATCCCAAGTGGGTGACACAGCTAGGATTTCTCAGTAATTTTCCAGTTTCTCATCTGGCCTTCAGAGTTTTACAAAACAGTGGTGTCTCACAAAATGGCATTAGCTATGTTTAACTTAGTGTGAGGCTGGGGTCTTTCACTGGGAAAAGTGCTTTGTGCCTTCAGTCCCAGCATTTGAGAGGCAGAGGCAGGTGGGTCTCTGTCAGTTTGAGGCCAGCCTGGTCAACATCACAGTGCATGCCCTGAGACACCCCCCCCCATCTCTGGCCTTACGTGGCACAGACAGTGGTCAGATGCCTGCTGTCCTAGGGCCTGCCTTTATGCTCACCTGGCAGTCTTCTGGAATGCTGAGCCCCACATAGCACGATGCCCAGGACTGGGCCTTTTGGTCATCGCCTCTAGCTCTGGTTCTCTACTGGACCCTTTCAGGACACGCACAGGGATGCACAAACCACGCATCTCAGCTAAGGACCTGGTGAGGTCTGCAGCCACCACCTGACACTCGGGACCTTTCAGTAGGCCACAGGGTTCTCACGGGGTGCCTGAGAGCTCTATCTGGAGATGAGGACAGGAAACAGGTGAAGACTGGACCTTGACTGACAGCCTAGAAAGGTGTCAGGAAGCCTGTCTGTCTGACACTAACTTATACCCCCTGCCCTCGCCATGGTTGGCTGGGTACCAACCCCGTGCCCAAGAGTCTGTACCACAGGTCAGGCCTTCGCCTCCTCACACACGCTCCCTGCCCTCCTCCAGGGTCCTAAGCCGTTGCTCAGCACACCCCTGCACACGATGATCCCTGCTGTTTCCGGCTTCACAGCCATTACTTTGACTAAGGTCATAGCACGGTCTGAGGGGTCCGTGCCTCCCACTAGGAGATCCCTCTGGAACCTGCCTGGAAAAACGCTCCACCATAGATGTACAGCAGAGGTTGGTTCTAAAATGATAATAATTAATAATAATAATAATAATACATAAATGAAGTAGCACTGGTGGTAACGGTGCTCTCAACGATGGATGCCAGACACATGGCCCAGAAGGACAGAAAATTCCGCTTGGCCAGGGCCTGGGGTAGGATGGAAGGGGGCCTGCGCAGGGGACTGATGCAGGGTGGAGTGGGACCAAGCCACACAGGGCCTCGGAGGCCCCAACAAGACCCCAGGCTTTGCTGCAAGGGCACAGGGTGCCATCCACTCTTCTGTGTGCTCCTTCCTCAAGGCATTCCTTTCTCCTAACTGTGAACTCATTCCTCCCTGGCCTAGCTTCAAGCACCACGAATATGGCTAACCGCCAAACAAACATCCACTACAGAGCACCGCAGAAGCCTTCAGAAGCGACTTTAATTTCAGGATGCGGGATGTCCTCGTGTCCCCGCAAACACCAAAACCTGCTGGCTGAGTCGGCCGGAACCAGCCAGCTCTTGGTCCTAACCAGCCCAGCTTCTCGGGTGACAGCATGTCCTCTCAGAACAGAGTAGCTGCGGGTGTCAGGCTTCATCCGATGAGGTGAGGTGGGGTGGGGGCTGGGGCTACGCTGGCCATCCTCCTGGGCCGCCTGGGGTCAGGAAGAGAAGGGCTGTGTCTCGGCCAGCGGGCGTGACATGCTCTGGATGGCCCACTGCAGAATACCATCGAAGGAGTGCTGGGAGAGAGTGACACAAGCGTTCAGGCCGGCTGGACCTCCTCAGAGCCGGTGCCGCTCTGCCATGTCCAAGGAATTGGGGCCATCGTGATGTGTCACCCAACCTGACCCTCTAACTCAACGTGGGGGGGGGTGCTGAGACCTGAGGCCCCACAGGACATGCCAGTGAAGGGAGGACCCTTCAGCCAGTGTTCTAGGGCAGCCTGTAAGTCCAGGAGTCAGACTTCCCAATGGTAGTGGTGGGACACCATGAGGGAGGTCTTCATTTTTTCAAATGCCCATTCATGCTGGCCACCCATCTCTCTCTTATGCTCCCACACATATGACTGTGAGCGGCCTACACCCTAGGGTAGGCCCCTGCCCCATGGAGCCCTAAAAAATTCTGGCTTCTCTCTCTCATTCTTTGTGTTTTTGAGACGGGGTTTTTCTCTGTGTAGCCTTGTTTATCCTGGATTTGCTTTGTAGACCAGGTTGGCCTTGAACTCACAGAGATCCACCTGCCTCTGCCTCCCAAGTGCTAGGATTAAAGGTGTGTACCACACCTGTTTTTTCTCTCTCTTTTCTTCTTCAGTTTTTAGGAGAGATTTATTCATACTATTTTTAAGTGTGTGTGTGTGTGTGTGTGTGTGTTGTACAGGTGCCTGAGAAGGCCAGAGGTGTCAGATTGCCTTGGAGTGGAATTATAAAGTTATAAGTCACGTGACATGGCTGCTGGGACCAGAACTTGGGTCCTCTGCAAGAGCAATGTACACTCTTAGCCACTGAGCCATTTCTCTAGCCCCTTACATTTTTTGAGATAGGGCTTCAGCATGCAGTCCAGATTAGCATCACAGTCCTCCTACATCTGCCTCCCAAGTGCTGGGAACCAAAGCCCCAGGCCACCACATCTGGCTCTACCTGTCCATCTTAAGGAGCAGAAACCTTAGATGGGAGGGGTAAGAGAGAAGTTTTTAAAGACCCTACCAAGTCTCCAAGGGTCAAGGTGGTGGTACCCAACTTTAATCCCAGCACTCACAAGGCAGAGGCAAGCAGATCTCTGTGAGTTCAAGGCCAGCCTAGTCTATATTGAGTGAGTTCCAGGATAGCCAAGGCTACACAGAAAAACCCTTTCTCAAAAAAACATACAAAACAACCAACCAAACAAACAAAAATCAAGGGCTTAAGGCCCCCTGGTTCTGAGGACAATAGATCTCCCAGAGGTGAGGGTCCCTGTGGGAGAAGTGGACACACAGCAGGAGGCCAGGCACCCTGCATGGAAGTGATGGTTCTGGGGAGAGCAGCCATGGGGGCAGAGCAACTCCAGTCTCCTGGCTGCTGCCTGACTGGGGGCAGCAAAGGAGGTGAGAACGTAGGCCAGGCCAGGTGACATAGTACCTCATTCAGGAGGGACTCGAGATCGTCCCTATGTAGAACAGGCTCCTGACCAGCAGAATCATCCCCCACCTAGAACCAAAGAGTCAACAGTTAACCCAACCTAGCAGCAGGCTGGGGACCGGGAGCTGAACTCCAGGGTGGGGAGGCAGCAGCCTATCCCCCACCACAGGGCAGACTCACGCCTAGTTTCTCAGGCTTGGGGTGCAGGCAGAGTAAGGGCAACTGGCCTGTCCTACATACTGCATGTGGCCTTCAGGGAAAAAGAGAGGGTTGTTTCTTTTTCAGCTAAGCCCCACCCCAACTCCACCCCCGAGAGACACAGTGGCCAGGACCCAGCGAGTGTCTCCCTTTGCCTGTCATCAGCTCCCACTGGCCACGTGAGCTCTACTTGGTTGAACTTGATCTCTGGGCTATAGTGACAGAACTCCAAACAGGAGCTCACAGTGAATGGCTGAACTGCCCAGTCCTCTTTCTTGTTCTTTGTTTGTTTGTTTTTTGAGATAGGGTTTCTCTGTGTAGCCCTGGCTGTCCTGGACTCAATTTGTAGAACAGGCTGGTCTTGAACTCACAGAGATCCGCCTGCCTCTGCCTCCCCAAGTGCTGGGATTACAGGTGTAAGCAACCATGCCTGGCTTTTCTTCCCTGTTCTAGAAGTTCACTTGCCCATCTTTCCTGCTTGGGTCTAGACCCTAGAGCACATTGGTTCTCAGCTTTCCTAATGCCATGACCTGACCCTTTATAATACAGTTCTTCATGTTGCGGTGACCCCTAACCATAAAATTATTTTCATTGCTACTTTATAACTATAATTTTGCTATCGTTATGAAGTATAAATATCTGATATTGCCAACGGTCTTAGGCAACCCCTGTGAAAAGATTATTTGACCCCAAAGGATGAAAACCACTGTTCTAAAGGCTCAGCAAAGCTTGCCCCGTGCCTTTCTGGGTCCTATGCTACCAGCACAATCCTAGGATCAGTAGGTTTCCATGTAGCTTCCCAGATGGTTCTTAGATACATGGGGCCAGCCTGCAGCTGGATTTATCAGGGAGAGCTACAGTCTGCTACTGGGCTGTGCCATCTTGCATAATACAGGATCCCCCCCTTTTTGACCTCAAATCTCCAGCCAGAGCTAAGTCCCTGTCCAGTTAGTGAAAGTGGAGGTCCAGCTGGGGAGAAGGCTCAGGTAGGTGGCTCTTGGGGGTCAGCAAAAAACTTTGGCTCTCTTCCCCAACTGGAGTCACCTCTCTCCCTCCTTCCCCCTACCCAGGGCAATAGTTGGCTACTCTGGAGGCCTCAGCCCTTGTGAGCCATACTCCCCAATGTCAGCAGGGGATCTGGCACCTAGGGGTCTACCAGCTCTCTCATTTTGGGTTAAACCAACCACCCTGTAGTCCAGAGCTCCCTGAACAAGGGGACCCAGTGCCAACAATGAGTTCATAGCTATTTGGGATATTTTCTTTAAAATACTTGGTTTGCTTTGTTCTGTTTAGAGAGGGTTTCACTGTGTAGCCTTGGGTAACCTGGAACTCACGATATAGACCAGGCTGGACTCAAAATCACAGAGTTTACACTTTGTAAAAGTAATCGAGGAGCAGGGCACAGTGGCACATGCCTGTAACCCCAACAGTCGGGCAGGCAGAGGCAGGCAGAGCTCTATGAGTTTGAGGTCAGCCTGAGCTACAAAATGAGTCCAGAACAGCCAAGGCTACACAGAGAAACTCTGTCTGGGAAAAAAAAAAAAAGTAATTGGAGAGCCGGATGTGGTGATGCACATCTTTGATCCCGGTGCTAGTCTGCAGGGGAGGGGGTGTCTGGGAGTAGTAGCACATGCCTTTAATCTCTCAGCACTTGGGAGGCAGAGGCAGGTGGATTTCTGAGTTTGAGGCCAGCCTGGTCTACAGAGTGAGTTCCAAGACAGCCAGAAATCTGCAGTGAGACCCTAAACAAGCAAACAAACAGAGAAGGAATGGGACACATGGCTAGTGGGTCCCACAGACTCCCACCCCGCTGGCCACACACTGACCTTGGCAGGCCCAGGGGCCGGACGCACAGAGGCGAGGGCAGCCTCGCCTGGCATGGGGGTCAGATCTGTAGTGCAGGACTTGCAGCGGAGGTTGGTCCTAGAGGAGTGGGGAAAACTTGCTGGATCTGAGAACCGTCAAGGTTGGGTAGGGATGCCGGCAACTCTCCGGCCCTCGCCACCTTACTCACCCTGGCCGGGCAGCGGCAGTCGGGAAGTGGCATCGCCAGTGGAAGGCGGCAGCGCAGTGTGCGCACCTTGTCACGTCAGTGCCGTCCCCACACACGCCGCACCGCGCACCTGGCGCTGGACCCTGTAGGAGCATGAGAGAGCAACCCAGCCAACAGTGCCTTGCTCACTTGCTCACCCTAATACCCCACCAACATAGCTGCAGGTAGTGTGAGTAGGGCTGGAAGTTCTGAGGCCTTCATGTTCCAAGGGGGCAGGAGTGGCCCTAGCAGCTGTCAAAAGCAGCCTTCCAAGCTGCTTTCTGTGGGCCAGTCCATACTGCAGGGCTCTAGAGGAGCTTGTAGGGAATGTGGCCGCTGGAGATGGGCAGGGCCTAGAGGATTCTGGGACTCACGAGGAGATTCTGCATTTGTTGTCCTGCTTTATGGTGGGGAAGAATGTATCACCCAGATAACCAAGCTAGATCTTCCTTCCTCCCTCCTTCCTTCCTTCCCCTTCCCTCCCTCCCTTCCTTCCTTTCTAATTAATTCACTGTTTGTTTGTGTGTGTGCATATAGAGATCAGAGGACAACTGGCAGAGTGAGTCTTTCCTCTTGAGTCTTGAGGACCATCTCAGGTCCTCAGGCTTGACAGCAAGCCCGTTCACCTGCCGAGCCATCTCGAAGGCCCAGTTGGACTTTTGGAACGTCAGAGTTGTGTGGTGGGGCTGACAGCTACGCAGGAGCCCCTGGAGGGGCTTTCCTCACAGCCGAGGTGCCTCCTGCTGTACCTTTTTCCCTTTGGCAGAGTCCTCTGGAATGCCCTTCTAATTCCTAGCCTCTAGGGGTCTACCAGCTGCCCTATTTTGGGTTCATAACTGTGCTGAAGGTCCAGAGCTCCGAGAAGATAGCACCCAGGCCCCGGGGATCCCCCTCGCTCACCTGCTTCCCCTCAGTCCCAGCGCTCAGCAGAGGGCGTAGCGCTGAAGGCTCCAGCAGAGGCAGGGGGGCTGCGGAAGGTGGGGCCAGCAGGTTCACATATGCGATGGCAGGATCTGAGCTGGCTGGGAGCTCCCTGGGCAGGCCCCTGGTCTCCTCTGAAGCTGACCTCAGCCCCAGGAGGACCTGGAATTCAAGGGTCACATGGCACTGCTCAGCACCACCTCGGAGTCAGGACTGGGTTGCTGTGGTGGGTCTGAGGTTGAAGAGGCCTGGTACAGGCTGGAGAGATGGCTCAGTGGTTAAGCATACTGGCTGCTCCTCCAAAGGACCCAGGTTTGATTCCCAGCACCCACATAGCAGCTCACAACCATCTGTAACTCTAGTTCCAGGGGATCTGACACTTTTACACAGGCATACATGCAGGCAAAACACCAATACACATACAAAAATAAATAAATTTAAGAGCTGGGCATGGTGGCACACGCCTTTAATGCCAACACGAGGAGGCAGAGGCAGGTGGATCTCTGTGGGTTTTAGGCCAGCCTGCTCTATAGAATGACAGAGAAACCCTGTCTCAAAGAACCTTAATGAATCAAGGCTCTTAAAACAAATCATTTAAAAAGAAGAAAAGGCTAAGTGTGTGGCTCCAGTGTTCTCAGCAAAAGCTTCCATTAGATGTGCTGACAGTGGCCTCAGGGCTTCTCAGAGCAAACAGGGAATTCTAACAGGATGTGGGCATAATACAAGAGAAAGCGACCAAGGCTTTTGGAGAATATTAGCAATGACGAGGCAGGAGGAGTAGAGCCATCTTGGAGTAGGTCCTTAACCTCTTGACCCCTCCACCCCCCAGGGAGCTCACCATAAAGGCTGATCAGGTTGAACCAGGGAAGGGCACTACAGCCAGGGCAAGCAGGGCTCACAGGAGAAGCTGGGAGGGAGGACTGTCGAGGGACAGAGAGGAGAAAGAAGGTGACCTAGTAAGGGCATACCGGTGTCTCTGTAGGTGGTTCCAGGGGCCTGGACTCCTCAGTCTGGCACAGGTTCTGCTGGACTCTGCCCTGGAGGCAGCAGGCACACCTCCAGAGGCCGCTATGCACGAAGCCAGCAGTCACAGGCATGCAGGACAAAGCAGAGACAACAGACCCCAAGAACTGTGTGGCAGGGTTGGCTTGAAACCCTCCATGTCACCATGTCATTCACAGATGGGAAACCAAGGTCGGGGAGAGTTGGGCACCATGAGGAAAAGTCAATAGGACATGGGTTATTTACCCCTGGATGGTGGCCCTAGCCAGAGAGTGCTACTGTGCTAATCCTTAAGAATTCCCCATGCCTGGCATCCCTACACTCAGGGAGGCAGAGGCAGGCAATCTCTGTGAGTTTGAGGCCAGCCTGGTCTACAGAGTAAGTTCAAGACAGCCAAGGCTACACAGGGAAACCCTGTTTCTGGGGGGGGAAAGAAAATCCCCATGCCCAGTAACCCTCAACGCATGTGCCTGCTTGTCATTGGCCTGGCCCAGCTGTGGGCCCTCCCTCAGTGGCACTGTTTCCATTCTCAGAACACCCATGGTCCTATAGGGATGAGCCAGCTGGGGAGGGAGGAGCAAGGGCAGGAAGGGAGGACCCTGGTGGAAGAAGATCAGAGAGAAACAAGTGGCAGAGCCCAGGCTAGAACCCCACAGACTGCTGCACACTCCAGAACAGAGGCCTACGCAGCCAGTGGTGGGGGTAGACAGCATGCCTTTGTGGGTGTGACATTTAGGGGGGCCTTGTGGCAGGGAGGGGAGGCAAGTGGCATGTCAAGAGAATCCTACCATGCCCATAGCCAGTGCTCTATAGCACAACTTTTCCTGAAGGGGGCCTTACTATCCTTCTGTGGGGCTGGAGGAAGCTTCTAAGGTCTGCGGATAAGGACAGCGGCAGATCAGGGTGGCCACGGTATAAATATCCATCAGGGATGGGGAGCTCTGCTCACCTGGGGATCTCCCTCAGAGGTGGGGACAGGCAAGCCAGGTGGAAGGCCCGGGGACAGCCGTCACAGCAGATGAGCTCACCTCCATCGTGGCACACAGCACACTCGTCCTCATTCTTCTGACCAGGCAAGGAGGACCCACGCAGACCCGGAATGGAGCACAGTGCCCGCCTGAGAGACCCACTCTGGAAGGGCTCCTCCTACAATGCTCACTGCCAGAGACTGACTCCCAGATTCCCTTTCTGCTCCCTCCTTGGCCCCTGCCTGATCCCTGTGCTGCCTAAGGCCTTTGCAGTACTAGCTCTCTCACAGTCCTAGGAGGTGCTGGGTTCCAGGCAGTCCCCTAGGTTGACCCCCACCCACTGAATAGGACAGCAGGTGGATGGGCCTGGGGTTTCCTGTCAGCCCTGGGCACCTCCTATCATTCCCTCCATCCCCCACCTTGTGCTTTGGTAAGGACAGAGGTAATTCTGAGTCTACATACCACTCGTCCTCAAGAAGCTCCCAAACAAGCTGGGCTCAGTGGCACACACCTTTAATCCCAGCGCTTGGGAGGCAGTGGCAGGCAGATCTCTGTGAGTTTGAGGCCAGTCTGGTCTACAAAGCCAGTGCAGGACAGCCAAGGATACACAAAGAAACCCTGTCTCAAAAACAAAAACAAACAAACCAAAAAAAAAAAAACCACACACACACAAAACAAAACAAAAAACAAGAAGAAAGAAGAAGAAGAAGAAGAAGAAGAAGAAGAAGAAGAAGAAGAAGAAGAAGAAGAAGAAGAAGAAGCAGAAGCTCCCAGGTGCTAGGCTAGCATCACTGTACTAGCCCTGCACAGTGACTATGACATTTATGGGACTAGTTCCACAGGCCCCCAGTAACCAGGGTGCTTTTGTAGAGCAGGATAGAACTGGACCCTTCAGCCCTTAATGGCCAGGGGGGGCCAGCAGAGCACCTGGCTCTCAGGTGTTGGCATCTATAATCAATGATAGCAGGCACACCCACACCAGTGGTGCTGGAGAAGAGATGATGGACCGTGATATTCCCAGAGGACCTCAGACTCGCTTTAGCAGCAATCCAAACTCACCCCCAGCTGAGATGCTTTTTGTAGTCTGGACTGAATGTGTGATAATTTTGTTGTTGTTTTGCTTTGTTTTGAGACAGGGTTTCTCTGTGTAACCATAGCTGTCCTGGGACTTGGGGTGTAAATGAGACTGCTCTTGAACTCACAAAAATCTGCCTGCCTCTGCCTCCAGAGTGCTAGCATTCAAAGCGTGAGCCACCACTGCCCAGCTGAACGTGTGATTTGAAAGGGAGAACCTCACCTGCTCTGACTAATTTGAAATCTCCCAAAGTGAATCTCCAGAAAGAAAACTTCCAAGAAAGTGAGAGAAAGCGGGAGGAGAGGGAAGGGAAGGAGGAGAAAGGAAGGTGCGCCTCATGGGTAGGAGTTCAGACCTCTGTGTTCCAGGCAGCTGAACACTGAGGACAAGGGACAGAAGGTCCTGACTGAACGCTGGTCAGGTTCCCTCTGTTCTTTGGGCTTACCTGGTGAGCCTGGGGCTCACTGGGGAGGGTTGGAAGGACAGGGACACCACACAGCTGGCCCACTCTCTGCTCATCTCTGCCCTACAATGGACAAGGGGTTGCCAGGGTCAGGGAAGATCCATGGGGCCACCAGTATCAGGGGCCTGTGGGAAGCAACTCCAACACCCAGGAAGAACTGTGTAGGGGAGGGGAGGCTCCCCAAGGTTTGGCTCCCCAAAGGTGGACGTTCTGGGTAATGCTTACAGGGATGGTGACCTGGACTCCCTTGGCTCGGACCACTGGCTTTAGACTGCCACCACTGCGGGTCTTGTTCTTTGTGCTACCACTTGGGTCTTCAAACTTGCTGGGAGCATAAAACTCTCCCCCAACCTGGATGCACTTCTTGGATCCTCCTGGGAAGAGAGGCATCCGTGTCTGAGCTCACACTGGGCGGCTGGCAGAACCTGCAGCCTACTGCTCCTCCCTCTTCCCCCAGCCACTGCCAGGTCTGAGGCCTGGGTGCTGGGCACGGTGAGGGAATCTTTCTGGGATCATACTAAGGTAAACAGTGTCCACCCACAAGCTTAGAGTAGGGCCGTATTGGAAACAAGGTCTTTGGAGATATAATCGGTTAAGATGATGTCATAGCTGGCCAGTGGTGGCGCACACTTTTGATCCCAGCACTGGGGAGGCAGAGGCAGGGGGAGGCAGAGGCCTCTATGAGGCCAGCCTGGTCTATAGAGTGAGTTCCAGACAGCTACCGCTACACAGAGAAACCCTATCAAATAAATAAATAAATAAATAAATAAATAAATAAATAAATAAATAGATAAAATGTGATGTCATGCTAGACCCTAAATCCAATGTCCTTACTAAGAGAGGTGAAAACAGAGAGACACAGTCAGGCTTGAGGGAGGCACAGCCACTGCCCATGAGTGAGTGTTACAGCAGTACTGTGTGCTAAAGATGACAGAAGGGACCCTCCATAGCCTCTGAAAGGACATGTCACTGTCCATACTTAGGCTTTGGAATCTGTTGTCATAAGCCTGGGGCCTTTTGTTATAATAGTCCCCAGAAGAGTCAGACAAGATTTTTGAGGCTGTCCTGAGGAGGACAGACCAGGGCCGGCATCAGCACTAGGGCATCCTGGCTGCCAGTGGCATCCAATGACCAGGATGGAGGGGATATGATGGAGCAGATTCCACAATGATGACTGATCCTGCCCTGCCCTCAGCTCTGTCCTGTGTAGATAATTTGGGTGGCTGTATAAAGTGACCCGCTAGCCTACCTAGTAGTTAGGCAGTTGTGGGAGGAGCCTGGACAGGCCATAGATGCCAAAGGCAAGGGCAGTAGGATGTGGTGGGCTGTCCTGGGTCTGCAGTATGGGCGCTTGAGAACTGGAGCACGCAAAGAAACAGTCTAAGTGGGTCCTGTGACTCAACAGCACCCACCGCTGTGGAGGAGGTGGGCTTTCCGTGCTGGATGTGACAACGAAACACTGGCCTGACAGAAGAGCTTCCCATGCAGAGGGCCTTTAGCATCATCAATGCACTCCAAAGCCAGCAGAACTCATGTGGTACACTGCCTGCCTTGCGCTCAGCCTCGGCCATAGATGCTCTCGAGCCACCTCCTCCCATTCTGAGGGCCTGCCGTATGTCTCCCCGGCAGCCTGCTTCCCCTGCATTTACCTGACTCAAACACCTGCTGGATAAGGATCCCTTCCACAGCCCCTCGGGTTCCTGGGACATCCCCAGAGGACACAGTCACGGCTCTCTGGACGGAAGCTGCCATGGTCTGAAGTCCTGGAGAAGGCGCAATACAAGTGAATGCATAGGCAAAGGCATGAGCACAGCTCTGTGGGGCCTGGGTAGACCACAAACGGCCGATAAACAAGAGTCTCGTGGTAGCGGGGGACCCATTGTTCTGGGGCATAGAGTTCCTAAGCCATCCTGGGCGTGAGGACCAGGAAGCACAGGTGTGCGGAATCCCTGGGACCCTGGGTGGGTGTGGTCAAGGTTGGGCCCAGCTGCGGAGCAGGAAGAGTTCTCTCATGGCTATGTTTCTGGAAGGTTAGGAGCACTAGAATGGACAGAGGTCTGGGAGGAGACGCCCAGAGCAGTGTGCATGGGGTGACTGACAACACATTTGGGCCCAAGGAGGCTCCATCTTCCTCTGTCTCCACCACCCAGCTGAGGCCAATGGGATCAGATGCCCTCCAACCTCCAGTCAGCCCCTTGCTCTCGTGGCCTTACTCACCGTTAGCCAGCGGGAGGCGCTGTGACTCCGAGCTGCCCTCTGGCTTCTTAGGGGGCTTGGTCTTCAGGTGGGAGCCTGTGAAGGGGAGGTGCAGGCAGGCTGGGCCTCTTTTCTGGGCTGGGGTGGTGCTGGTGGGCCCAGGGTATGAAGTGAGGTGGGGGAGAAAGCACCTGGCAGGGTCAGATCATGGGCTCCCTGGCTCCCTGAGAGTTCTTAAGCTGGCACAGGCTGTTTCCTTCTTCAACAGAAAGGAAATCAAAACCACCTGCCTGCCTCACCACGAAGGAACTCAGCCTTCAGACCAGTGAGAAGCTGAGAGGCCGTGAGCTTCCACCGATGCTCAGGTCTGAGCACTCAGACGTGACTCTGCGGCTCTGGCCCTCCCTGGGGCGGTATCAGTAAGCTCCTGAGAGTCATTTGTGGAGAACCCAGCTCCTCTCCCTGAGTACCTGGGCTGGAGGTGCTCTTTGGGGCCAGGGTTGCTGGCGGGGTGGCTCGAGGTTCCTCTAGTGCTTTCCTCTTGGTGGGGGGTCTGGGTGGTAGTATTGTGACCTTGGGACCAGCGAGGGGCTTCCTCCCTTTCCGGGGCTGGTTGAGGTCCACATCTGCAGCTCGGGGATAGGAACAAGGGCCCCATCTTAGAGCCTCCTCTTCAAGGTGGGTGCTAGAACAAGACGCTCTTGAGGGAGGGGGGACAGGCCTCTGTCCTTTGCCTCTCAGGTTCTGCTGGGGTTGTAGCGGTTCCCTTAAAACACGGTTCGGCTTACACCCATAGCCCCAGTGCTACCCACAGGCTGGGATGGCCCTCACCAACATCAGCACAGGCCCACCTTTTGGGAAGCCATCCAGAATAGGATGCAGGCGGCTGTACCGCTCCAGATTGTAGTCCTTAAAGAGAACCCTCCAGAAATCCAAGATGGCCCCACTGTCCCGGGTCAGGAGCCAGGATAGCAGGGCGTGGAAGGCCTGGGGGCAGCCCTCCTTCTCCTTCAGCCGCAGCGTCTCCTGCAGTGACGACATTGGGTTACCTGTGCACACCCTATCTCCAACACCGGCCCCCTCCCCAACCCCCTGCTGCCTCTTCGGGAAGGGAGGCCGGCCTATTCCTGCCAATCCCTGGGGCCTGAGGAGTTGGGGGGGGGGGCATGGGGTGTGAGGTTAGGGGACTCACCTGGAACTTGACCTGGAGAGGTCTCCTGAGGAGGGCTGGGGCCACTCCTTGGCTGGTAGAGGGAGGGTGTGGGTATAGCATGGCTGTTGGCAGGGGTTGGGAAGGATCACCTAGGTTTGTGGGTAGAGGAGTGGGGAGACTGAGAGGCGCCAGAGGGCCAGAAGCCCACCTGGAACTTGTCCTCGGGGACCACGTCGTGGTCGGCCAGGGCGTGCAGCAGCGGAAAGGCGCTGTCTATAGCCACCGCGATCTCAGTGCGGTGCAGCTTCAGCAGGCGGCGCAGCGTCCCATCCCCGCCGGCCATCCTCTCCACAAGGGCCGCGCGTCCGCGCCCCCCGCCGGCCTGCGCGTGCTGGTGTTCCCTTCTCCCTTCCTTGGGTGCCTTGGTGCTCTTGGGGAGTATATACTTACTCCCCAGCTGGGGAAAGGCGACGTTTGCCTTGCTCAAGGGCTCTGTTATACTTTCAACCAGGAAAGAGCAGTGGCTGCTGGTCACCCTGGAGCCAATCAGGGCCCAGCTTCTGCAGCCTGGAACAAAGAGTGTCCCGCCACTGGGTTCAGGAGGCCCTAGGGCGGCAGCTGGTATTCCTTTCCTGTGGAATCCAGGGCAGCTGCCCTGGTTGGGGGTAGAGGAGGCTGTAGGTTGCCCCTCCAGACTCTCTACAGAGGGTTCTGTTTGTGGAGAAAAACCAGGACGGGCTGGAAAAGTCACTGACCAAGCAACTAGCAGAATGATAAGCTCCAGGTTCAGTGAGAGAAGCAGACGGATCTCTGTGAGTTCGAGGCCAGCCTGGTCTACAGCGAGTGAGTTCCAGAACAGCTAGGGCTAGACAGAGAAACCCTGTCTTTTAAAGAAAAAAAAAAAATAGGTGGAGAACAATTGAAGAAAACATCCTATATTCACCTCTAGCTCCATATCCATGTACATATGCAAGCAAGCATGTACACACACACACACACACACACACACACACACACTGAATTTAAAAAGGGGGCTAGAGAGATGGCTCAGCAAGCAGTTAAGAGCAGTCGTTGCTTTTTCAGAGGACCCTGGTTTGGTTGTCAGACACCCGTATGGCATGATGCCTTACAACCATCTTTAACTCTGGTTCCAGAGGATCTGACACCCCTTTTTGGTTTCTACTGTCCCTGCATGATGTACATGGTGAGGAACATACATGCAAACAAGCCACTCATATGCCTAAAATAAAACGGAATAAAATAAATGGGGAAGGGGCCGGAAGGCAAGAGCCAAATCAGTGCTTCCAGACACACCCTGGTTGCACAGATGTGCCGGCACCTCTGTGTAGTCACAATAAAAAACCTTTGCAATGGGCTGGACAGCAGACTTGGATGGGACCCCCCTAGCTCTCCTGGACCCAGGGCTGGAGGAGTGGGATGGAAGACTCCGGCAGGACGGAGGAGGTAGATGGTCCATCCTGTGTGCTGGTGGGTGGGAAGGACCCATGGCCTATCTCTAAACTCAGAGGTAGCCGGCTCAGAGGTAGCCGGCTCATTGAACTAGGGGTCTATCAGGCAGAGTGCAACAGGAAGGGTCAAGAAGCCAGAGAGCCCCTAGACCAGTGCTGGGACCCCTTAATGCTCCCATGTTGTGGTGACCCCCCAACCATAAAATTATTTCATTTGCTACTTCATAACTGTAATTTTGCCTCTGTTACGAATCATAACATAATTATCTGAAATGCAGGATACCTGTTACGTGACCCCTGTGAAAGGGTTGTTCAACCCCTCAAAGGGGTTGTGACCCACAGGTTGAGAATCACTGCCCTAGACAGATATCCCTGGACCACGCAAGTTCCTGTCTTGTTCCCCTCATAGTCCAAGGAGCATTCTCAGGACTTAGAGACCTGAGTAGACCCCTGAAGGACAGGGGCTCCAAGAAAATCAGAGAAGTGTCCTGGAGGCAGATGGAAAGGGATGCAGAGGTGGACATGAGTGGAAATTGTGCCCCTGGCCAGGTGAGAGCCTACATCTGAAAGTGGCTTGAGAGGTGACAAATTCTTAGAGCAAAGTGTTACAGTAAGGTCTATGCTGGGGTCCCGGCCACTATGAGTGTTGACAGTTGAATAGAAGCAAAGGGTAAGATCCGTTAGCACAGCACTGGGCTGGGGCCGTGTGGTACAGTGGGAGGTGGGCTCAGGTGGCATGGATGACTCCTTTAGTGAGTAGCCTTGCCCAGCACCCTCCTAGGGGCGGCCTCATAGGGAAGCCTGGGCAGAAAACCATGTGTGATCTGCCCTGACCTTGGTCTCTGTGGGTTCCTCTACTTCCTAACTCAGGATCCCCTGAGAGTTCAGCATGTTCTGAGATTGCTCCCCAGTTAATGGGGACTGGGGGGAGGGAAGGGACAGGTGCTGAAAATGGGTGAGGTGGTTCAGTATGAGGACCAGGAGCTGGGGAAAGAGGGGAGAGCTCCATCATGAAGGATCAGTCACGTCAGAGTCAGGGTGTGTGTGTTGAAAGATAGGTGGGGGAGGGTAATGATCTAAGGGCTGTGAGCAGGGAACAGACCCTTCTTACCATCCATCACCAGGCTCCAAGCCATAACCACAGCACCTCTGAATGCAGCTTTGGAGCTGATGAACCCCGCACTGTGCCTTCCACAGATACTGAGAAGAAAGCCTTGGGTGATGCCAAAATGGGTTTGTGTTCCCTGAGAGGCACCACCTGTCCCTCATCCCCGAAGGAGGCTCCTGCTCCCTGGCCTTTCCTGCTGTCTCCTGCACGTATGTATTTACTATGGAAATACCAACCCACCGTCCCCTGTAAACCCAGCACAAATATGACTCCTGCTATCCAGAACAGGATCTCTTCACTGACAAATGGCAGGGTGGACATAGGCCCTGGTCCCTTGCTCCCGTGCTCATACCTTGCCAGGGTTTCAGGAACACAAAGGGCACTGATGGAGCCTCTGGGTCCACAAGCTCTAGAATACATACATTAAGCATCCAGGATGCCCAAGGCAGTGCGTATACCTTGGGGTGATCAGTGCTGATCCTGTAGCTGGCTCAGCTTTGCAGAATTACCATCCTCCTAAAGTCATGCCTGCAGCCTGGGGCTTTCTCCCCACTTAGTAGAGTCTCCTTGTGTAGAGGCAGACGGGGATTCCTCTGCCAAAGGCAATGGACAAAGAAGAACTAAAAACTGCATTATAAGGCCAAAGTCTACACTTTTTTTTTTTTTTTTTAAGCCTGATCTCATCCCAGAGTGCCCACCATTGGCTGAGGGCTGACTGTTATAGACAGGCATCCCCCAGACTCTTGTGGGAGAGCAACAGAGAGACTCCTGTAGAATTTTGGACTTTCCATCACACTGGGGAGTTTCCATGACAGTCCACACCTGCAGGTGGTCTGTAGAACTCAGCTTAGAAGAGGTGCGGGAGCCCAGAGTAGGCTATGCCTCAATCAATATGTGGGCTGCATCTGTGATCCTCAATGTCCTTGCCCCCCAAAGAGGTTGACCACAGCATGGGGGCTGGCCCAGGGCGGCTACTCCATCCCACAGAGGTGCAGAGAACAGAGGAAAAGGTGGCCAGGGTCAGAGCTGTTAGGGGCTCTGACAGTTCTGAGCAAACAGGTGGAAAGTACCAAACCATCCACAACAGAGGTGTGACGGAGTCAGGTGCTGGTGATGCAGATAGGGGTAGAGACCAGCTGGGGGCCTGCTACAGGCAGGCCAGCTCTGTACACCACCCCGTGGTTTGAATCCCATGTGTCAACTCGAGGTTAAAATTGGTAACATAGTAGAAAATACTTACAATACCGACAAAACTATCAAATAGTCGGAAAACAAAAAAGATAAAAGGAGCTCAGCAGTTCTCACAAACAGGGGATTTCTTGTTCGTTATTTTTGTTGTTGTTGCTGTTATTTGGTTGTTTTTGTTTTTGTTGGTGGGTTCTCAGATAGCCCAGGTTGGCCTGAAAATAACATCACTATGTAGCCAAGGATGACCTTGAATTTCTGATCTCCCTGCCTCTACTTCTGGAGGGCAGGCATTTGCTGCCATGTCTGGTTTTCTTTGGCAGTGCTGGGCATTGAACCCAGGGCAGGCTGCCTAATAGATATCCACAGCTGAGCTGTATCCAAAGTCCTGTTGTTTCCAGTGGAACACCACTGTGTAGACCAGGCCAGCCTCCTAGCCACGGCCCTGTCTGTGCTCCCCACGTAGCTGGACTACAGGAGCTGATCTGTAGACAGAGCCTGGCCAGAACTTACATTTTCACAAAAGAAGAAAGAAATGGAAAGGTATGCCACTGCCTGGATTTAGCATCTTGAGAACTCAGATATTTCTTAATCTAGAAGTATAAAAGAGTTGCAGTCAAATTAACACTGAACTCGAGCTTTAAGTGCTCGTAACTGCTGAGCCATCCTCCAGCCTCAATGCAAAAATTTTGCTTGTTTGTTTGTTTGTTTTCTGAGACAGGGTTTCTCTGTGTAGCCCTGGACTCACTTTGTAGACCAGGTGGCCTGGAACTCACAGAGATCTGCCTGCTTCTGCCTCCCTAGGTGATGGGATTACAGGCATGGGTCACCAAGATGGGCTTCAACACAAAAAGTTTTAAAGTGTGTATGTGTGTGTGTGTTGGGAGGTCAGAGGACAAACTGTGGGAGTTGGTTCTCTCCTTCCACCATAAGGTTCCATGGACTGAACTTAGGGCATTAGTGTTAATATTTGTTTTAAAATGACGCCACGCATACAAAAGACATTTTATAAGAGAGATTTATTGGATGGAGGTGGAGAGATAGAGGGGAAAAGGAGGAGAGAGAGAGAGAGACATGGTGGCCCCCCTCAAAAGAGAAAATGAGGCAGAGAAAGCAAGGGAGGAAAGCAAGAGAAAGGCAAAGTGCCAGGTTAATCCTTTCATAGTTTGTGCATGTGCAGCTGAACCTTGTCTGCTGGTGGGCACATCAGGTGGACAACACATGATGACATCATGGGTTACTAGGCAACCCAGAAGCAAGCTGCCCATAGGCTGCCCATTAGGCTCAGTGGCAAACCTTTCCCCACTGAGCCATCTTGCTTGGCCTTTTGTTTGTTTTATTTTTCAGAACTTGACTAAAATGTACGCCATGCCAGGTAAGTGCACGTGCATGAATGCACTTAAATAAATACAATAATTTAAAAAAAAAAAACAATAGGCCTGTCTTAATACAAAATGTTTCTACATAAAACATCATGAGACACTAAATGCATTAACAGTACTGGGTGTGTTGGCTCATGCCTGTTTTCCCATCACCCAGTAGGCAGAGGTGGGATTGCCCTGAGTTTGAGGTCAGCCTAGGCTGCATAACAAGTTAAAGGATAGCCTGGGCTACAGAGTGAGACCTGGAAACAAGGCTGGGCGTGGTAGCACATACTTTTAATTCCAGCATTTGGGAAGCTAAGGCAGCTGGATCTCTGTGAATTCCAGGCCAGTCTGGTCTGGTTTTCTACAATGAAATTTGTCTCAAAAAAAAAAAAAAAAAAAAAAGGCATTGATAAGATGAATAAAATATTTCTAACCCTTACATGAGAATATCCTAGTATCTTAAAAAAAAAAAAAAAAAAAAAAAAAAAGGAACCTTCAAGTCAGTGAAAAAGACAACGGAGAAGGCCGACAACTTCTTGCAGGGCATTTTTTTAAAAAAATACCCAAATGATATTGGGCAGTAGCATTGCATGCCCTTAATCCCAGTGCTCAGAAGGCAGAGGCAGGCAGATCCCTGAGGGGCCATCCTGGACTACATAACGAGTTCCAAGCCAGCCAGGGTTACGCAAAGAAGCCTTGTCTCAGAAGGAAAAAAAAAAAAAAAAAAGACATCCCAAATGTTAAAAAATAATGAAACGGAAGTCTGGTGAGACAGCTCCGTTGGTGGAGCATGAGGTCCCCAGAGACACACCCTTGGGTTCCATGGCCCCTCATCTGTAATCTCAGCGTTAATGAGTTGGGGCAGGAAGATGGGAAACTCAAGGTCCACCTTGATTACCTAGCGAATTCCAGACCAGCCAGAGATAAGTGAGGCCCTAGGGGAAAAGGGAAAGAGATAAAAAGTAAAAGCACTGGAAGAAGCAGGTTTAATTCCCTTACCCCACAGCCCTCAGCTGCAGGCCAGCGGCCACACCGGCTTCTCTGGGTGAAGACTGATCTGTGCAAACAGGTAGCTCATGCCAAATCTCAGATCAGGTGTTTCTCCAGCTTCAAAGTGTTCATCAGCCTGCGGTGAGGTGTGGGGACATGAGGACAAGATCCCTAACACACTTGGCAGGTTGAGCAAATGTGACAGGGGGGCTCAGGGCCCCTATTCCTTAACGCCCAGATTCAGACAAGGGGCCTTCTGTAATCCGCCCACTTTCTCATCAGCTCCTCATGCCCGAGGGCTTGGCCACGACGGCCCTGGCCTGGATCACTGGGCTGAGATGAGTGGTCCAGACTGAACCTTGTGTCTCTCACAGGCCCGCCCAGTGAAGCCTGGCACCAGGAGCTGTGTTCCCCGGTTCTCCCCACAACTTTGCTCTCCATTATAACCACTGTAACCACCGTGGTATCTATCCTCGAAGGGACTATTGGCCATGAATAAATTCACCTTTTAGAGCAGCTAGGAAGAATAATTGATTAAGCGTTCTGTGAGAGGTTTGCAGGTCTCCCCTCCCCATCGCCCACAGGTACCAGCAGGACATCACCCCGTGGTCCTATAAGTCCTGCTTGGTTGACTTTGTCTCAGCCTAAGGCTCTCCCCCTCCCCCACCCTTTGTCATCCTCACTCCAACCATTGCTCCTTTGCCTTACCCATCCCCCTCGGCACAATCAGGAACCCTACCTCCCAGCTCTCTAACCTCAACTGTAGGAAGCCTAGAGCGTCCCTTCCCGCAACCCCACCTGATTTCAGCCTCTGAACCCTACAATACTTCCTAACCCCTCCTCTGAACTCCCTGTCTCTCCCTCCTCCACCCTTCCCCGAATCCTTCTCCCACTCACAAGGCTCCCTCAGAAGCTTCAGCCCCACCCCCATCCACCCCACCCCCACTCCTTCCCTCAATACCCCCACGTGCTGGGCTCCTTAAGCCCCGCCCCTGAGTGCCTGCCCCCACACCCTCAACCCCACCATCCCGGGACTTAATTGGCTCGGCCCGGCACTGCGCTCTTATCTCTACTTACCTTAATGTCCCTTCTAACCTTCCCTCTGTCTTCCTCCCCATACTTTCCCCACTAGGCTCCAAGAGAACCCTTACAGGCCCTTCTCATCATCTCTTTGCTTTGCAGGGTTCTGACGACCCCGCTGACACGCCCGCCCGCCGTCCCTTCTAGCAGATCCTTCTAACAGACACCTCAATGGGTTCCCAGGAGACACCCTCTACCCGCGCCAAGACCCCTGGAACCTGGAACCTGGAGAGTACCGACAGCTCTAGCCCCGACTCTCTCGGCCACCTGGAAGAGCAATGGGCCAACTCCTGTGAGATCCTCAGTCCTCTCTTCCTTTCCTTCTCCCCTCTTCTTTCCTTACCTCCTCTTATTCCACAGGGCCCTTAGGGGCTCTGGACTGTCTCGCTAAGGCAGGAGCATAGGTCCTAGAGATCTCAGCCAGGTCAGAGGGGGCAGGGCCACAAGGATGCGGGGAACTGGCCTTTCCGCCCTGAAAACGCGTTGTTGGCGGGGGACTTGATGGATGAAGGGTACTCCACAGGGCATCTTCTCCTACCAGGTATCTCAAAGCTGATGTTGCAGGGTTTTGCTTTTGTTTTGAGTTTAGTTTAGTTTAGTTGTTTTTTTGTTTTTTATTCTTTTTCGAGACAGGGTTTCTCTGTGTAGCCTTGACTGTCCTAAAGCTCGCTCTGTAGACCAGGCTGGCCTCAAACTCACAGAGACCCTCCTGCCTCTGCCTCCCTGAGTGCTATGATTAAAGGTGTGCACCACCACTGTCTGGCTGATGTTGCAGTTTTTCTGGTCCCTAATCACCCAGATGGGCGGGTAGGTGTCATCATGGCTTGGCTGGGCGGTCTAGTGGGTCCTCGACTGCTGTGTTGACTACAGGTACCTTTGACTGTTTCCCTGCATGTATCTTGTGCCCCTTTGAGGCATCCCTGTAATGATGCCCTCTCGATCTGCAGCCCCGGACCTGAAGGATGAGCATAGCAAGGACATGGAGCCAGAGGACTCCAAAGAGCTGATTTCCTCAGCTTCACCCCCATCAGGCAGAGGTAAGGTCCTATCGAGGCAACAAACTTACCCCTTTGATCTGGACTTTAACTCAGGCCAGTAGCATCCAGGACAGCACCCCCCACATACACAAGAGCAGGTAGTCAGTGGGTGTCAGGGGTGTGGGGGAAATTCCTTGTGCCCTAGGCACCTCAGAGGACAAGTTTGTCACACATATTCCAATGAGGAGCCAGGAGATGAAAGGGGCTATTTACTTTTCTCTTCCAGAAATCATCAGGTACGAAATCTCTGTGAACCAACGTAACATCGAAGGTGAGTTTGCACATTTACCTGTGACCCAGAAAAAAGACAGTGCCAGTCCCACCAGAAAAGCTTGCTTCGGCCTCAGTCAGCCGTCCCAGAAAGTGGGGAACAATCCTGGTGCCTATGGGATGTCCTTTCCCCATTCCCCCCCCCCCCCGCCCCAGTACAGTACCACATTTGTTTAAAGCTCAAAGCCTGCAGTTTGATTGTGTTCCTGGGCTGGGCTTGGTGGTATGCACAACATTAATCCCAGCACTCAGGAGGCAGAGGCAGGAGGATCTGGGAGTTGGAGGCCAGCCTGGTCTATAGAGTTCCAGGAAAGCTAGGGTTAAATAAACAGGAAAACTGTCTGGAATCCTACTCCACCTTCCACCCCTACCTCCACCCTCAAAAAAAATTTGTGTTTGTATCAGCCAATTCTATAGTCTGAATTGAGACTATGCTGAGTTTTTGATAGCATCTACTTATCTCCAACTGATGCCCTGGGTTCTCTCCCCAGTATCTTACAAACTGGGTGTGCAGACACACCCTGTAATTTTAGGATTCTGGAAGTAGAGTAGGAAGAACTAGGTCATCCTTTGTGACCCTGTCAGAAAAAGAAAGGGAAAGGGGTGGGGATGTTTATCCCAGCTGGGCTGGTGGCACAGGCCTGTGTACTCAACAGAGGCAGGCAGATTTCTGTGAGGCCAGCCTGGTCTAGAATGTCTTAGAAAACAAACAAGCAAAAAGTGTATCCATTAATAGCCACTCCAGAGCACCTCAGTCAATGATCTATTTCTCCACATTGGCCCATTTGGGTTTTCATGGGCATTTTAGAATCATCATTTCAGGTCTGCACAAAGCCGATCTGGGAGTTTGGAGACAGTCTGCCCTTCATTTGGGCAGACTGTCTTGGTTTCCCATTCAGTCCTCCAACCTATGACCCTGACACATCCCTCCTGGGTCTTTCTCCTCCTCGTTCATCTCTTGGATTGCTTTTGCTAAGCCTGTCCCCCACTTTTCCCTCTGGCTCTCTCTAGACGTCTGCCTCTGTTGTGGAAGTCTCCAGGTGTATAAGCAGCACCCCTTGTTTGAGGGGGGAATATGCGCCCCCTGTAAGGTAAGCAGGGAAGCGGTGGAACTTTCTTGACTTGGCACTGTAGAGGGAGGTCTCACACACACAGCCTTTGCTCCTTGCTCAGGACAAGTTCCTGGAAACCTTCTTCCTTTACGATGAGGATGGGCACCAGAGTTACTGCTCCATCTGCTGCTCGGGGGGTACCCTGTTCATCTGTGAGAGTCCAGACTGTACCAGGTGAGGCCCAACTTCCCATTGCTCCTCCCACAGGAGTCATGCGCAACGTGGGAAGAGGGTGCTGAAGCTCCACGCCTGTGCTGCCTCTTCGTGAATGCAGCCACCACCTCTGTCCTTACACAATAGGAGGGGTGGACCCAGGGTGCAGGCCGCACATTCACCTTTAGCTGTTAAATCCCGGTCCTGAGCTCCATCCATGGCCGTCCCCTGCCCTGGTCCTTTTGTACATTTTTCTCTTCCCAGCCAGCTGCTCCCATGTATGGTTTTTCTCAGAGTCTTTAAAATGTGTGTGTAGAGGCTCAGGAGGTGGCTCGGTCGGTGATTAACAGCAGTGGCTGCTTCTCCAAAGGAGCTGGGTTCAATTCCCAGCACCCACATGGCAGCTCACAACTGTCTGTCGTAACTCCAGTTTCATGGGATCTTATACCCTCACGCCAGTGCATGTGAAAAAAATTAAATTGCTGGGCGGTGGTGGTGATGTATGCCTTTAATCCCAACACTGGAGAGGACGAGGCTGGCAGATCTCTGCGAGTTCAGGGCCAGCCTGATCTACAAAGGGAGCCCAGGATAGCCAGTGCTACATACAGAAACCCTGTCTTGAAAAAGAATTAATTATTTTAAAAAGTGTGTACAGGCTTCAGAGTTGTGGAAAGGCTGAGGGGATTGAGGTCTGTCATTGTGGGTACACCCACCTCACCTATTCTGTTGAGCCCCCTTCCCAGCCTACACCAACCTAGGCCCACCAACCCAGCACTGAGAGCAAAGCCAGAGAGTAACAGACAGTTCCCTCGAGAATGAGGTGCTGGTCTGCCTTGCGGCCCTGATGGCAGTATGGCTTGGGTCACTGTGGGTTTTTTTTTGTTTTCTTTTTGGTTTGACTCCAGATGCTACTGTTTTGAGTGTGTGGACATCCTGGTGGGCCCGGGGACCTCAGAGCGGATCAATGCCATGCCCTGCTGGGTCTGCTTCCTGTGCCTGCCTTTCACCCGGAGCGGACTGCTGCGGAGGCGGAGGAAGTGGCGCCACCAGCTGAAGGCCTTCTTTGACGAAGGGGGGGTAAGGGCAGACTGTGTGGAGGCTGGGTCCACCATTGCAGGTGACTGGCGGTTGAGTGTGCACCTCACTGGATAAGGCCGAGGCCTTCGCCTTAATGACCACAGGCGTTTTTCCAGTAGAGAGCAGCAGCACTGATGTTTTGTTGTGATAGGATCTCTGGTAGCCCAGGCTAATCACAAACTTACTGTGTAGCTGAAGGTGACCTTGAACTCTTGATCCTCTGTTTCTACTGAATGCTGGGATTGCAGGCATCACGATTATAAGGACTGAAGCCAAGGCCGTGGGCTCCACAAGTTCTTTCTTTTTTCTTTTTTTTTTTTTTTTTTTTTGGTCTTTCAAGACAGGGTTTCTCTGTGTGTAGCCCTGGCTGTCCTGGAGACCAGCTCTGTAGACCAGGCTTGGCCTCGAACTCCCAGAGATCTGCCTTCCTCTGCTTCCTGAGTGCTGGGATTAAAAGCGAAAGCATGCAACTATCACCTCCCCTAGTTCCACCAGCTCTTTACCAACTGAGTTACATCCTTCATCATCCTGGTGTTTTTTACAAGCCTGGGCATGATTACCGGGCACAAGTAGGACAGGAGCCCTCTTCACAGACTCCTAAGTCCATCACATTGGCTTGAATGCTTAGGCAACACAGCATCCCCTGTGCAGCCATGGCTGCCACCCCAAGGGTGAAGCGCAGAGGTGGCAAACCAGTCAAAGATGCAGAAGCCTGAACTGGGCATCTTCCTTTCCCCAGAAGGGGGGTACCCAACATAACCTGATTTGGAAGTAGGGTCTTAGTGATGGCACTTAGCTGAGCTTGAGGTGAGAGCGGCTTGGATTGAGGCAGCCACTTCGTGAAGAAGAGGATACTCTTGTAAAAGAAGGAGTTTTGGGGGGTTGAGATACACAGGAGAAGACAGCGTAGTGGGGGAGGCAGTGGTAACACAAGGCCGGCAGGAGCCACTGTGGCCAGCTGCTGGGCTCTGCTTCAGATGGTTCCCTGAAGCCTCGGAGGCCACCAGCCCTGGATTTCAGGCTTTGGGATTGTGGGCTGTGGGAATGGTTTTGCTCTCCTAGAGTTCTTGGAGCCTGAGACCTGCAGAGTTGTTCCCTGCTGGGTTCCACTACCCTCTAACTTCAGAGAAGCCATACCCTGTTTCCCTTTGTAGATATGTGGGGACCCAGGCAAGAGACCTAGACCTGGGGAGTGGTTGGAGTTGGCCTCCAGGGAGGGATGGATGAATAGCACTGATCACAACAGAGGTGGCTGGGCCTTAGCAAGCGAGTCCCAGATGGCTCCCGGGACGTTGTCTGGGGAGAGACTGTTGTCGGAGTCTCTTAAAACTGTAACTCCCCAGCTCTCCCTGAGCAATCAGCACAAATCCTCTTATCTTTTTCTCTCTTCCCTTTTTTCAAGGCAAGCCCTCTGGAGATGTACAAGACAGTGTCTGCGTGGAAGAGAAAGCCAGTTCGGGTGCTGAGCCTTTTCAGGAATATTGATAAAGGTGAGTATAGTCACATTAAACGACCTCTTCCTCGGTACTCCTTCTTGAGCTGAGAGAGCTGAGTATCATAAGAAAGCACCTACCTACCCAGCTGCCTGCCCACCCTGGGCTGGCCTGGCCCTACCCACCTACTGCCCACCCTGGCCAGCCTGGTCCTATCCGCCTACCTGCCCACCCTGGCCGGCCTGGCCCTACCTGCCTAGGCACCTAGGCAGGTGACGGCCAGAAAAATGCCCCAACTGTGTACCCAAGCAGGAGGGATGGTGAAGGGATCAGAGAAATAGAACCAAGATAGGGACCCAGCTTCCCAAGAAGAGGAAGCAGGACTGGGAAAGGGGCAAGCCTGAAAAGGCAAATGGCAATCAATGGCTGCAGTTAAGAGAGTTCTGGCAGGCTCCCTCAGCGTCCCCACTTTTGAACCCTCTTTCTATTATCTGAATCTCTTAACCTGGCCACGGGGTCCCATCCCTTAAACTGCTCTGATCTTCCCCCTCCCCCGTGCCCAGCAAGCACAGAGCCCTGAAGGTGCTCTGGTCCCTGGCCAAATCATACCTTACTTAGGGTAACAGAGAGTGTTCAATGACCCACAGTGTGTCACAGGGGCCCCACGTAGCACCTTAAGGACACCCAGTAAGGGCTCGGTTTGCCCAAGCCCTCATTCTCAGGATCTGGGGGAAATCCACCTGTTTTGTGGATTGCTAGCCTGGCTTACCCTCAAGCCAGCAAGTGAGAACATGGTTCAGAAATGCCGAGTTTTGCAACAAATTGCTTGCTTGTCATAAATCAACGCTCAGGAAGTTTGCCCTTGGGCTCCCGTCACTGAAAAGATCAGGCTGCTACTCCATGGCAGGAAAGTTGCACTGTCATGGATCGTCACTCTTGGGACAGAGCCCACATCAGCTATATCCATCTTGTTTCTCCTCCCCTCCCCACCCCCTCTTCCAGAGCTAAAGAGTTTAGGCTTTTTGGAAAGTGGTTCTGATTCTGAAGAAGAAAGACTGAAGTACTTGGAAGATGTCACAAATGTCGTGAGGAGAGATGTGAGTTGAGTTTGGGGGGTGGGGGGAGGAGGAATGAGAGGGAGAGCCCTGGAAGGGTAGGGAGGAGAATGAAGGGTGCGGTTTATTGCTGGAGGTCTCCAGGCCAGCATGGGGTCCTGGGTCTAGCCTAGAAGTTGGGGCCTCATTTGGAAGTCAACCCATTACTGAGAGAAATGGGAAAGTCTAAAAAACCTATTCTAGTTTGGGGAACTCAGGCTTGGACATCTTAGGAACTCTTACTTATGAGAATGACCCCCTGGATTAGATGATCAATCCCCACTTAGAAAGACAAATGGGATGTGCATTGGGCGTAGGAGAAAACAGGACAGGAGCCTACCATAGAGGGCCCCTGAAAGACTCTAACTAGCAGTGTATCAAAGCAGATATTAAGACTCATAACCAAACCTTCAGCAGAGTGCAGGGAATCATATGAAAGAAGGGGGAGTTAGTATGATGTGGAGAGGACAGGAGCTCCACAAGGACCAAATATATCTGGGCACAGAGGTCTTTTCTGACACTCCACCAAGGACCATGTATGGATATAACCTAGAACCTCTGCTCAGATGTAGCCCGTGGTAGCTCAGTAACCAATTGGTTTCCCATAGTAAGGGGAACAGGGACTATTTCTGACAGGAACTCTATGGCAGGCTCTTTGACCTCCCCACCCCCAAAGGGAGGAGCAGTCCTGCTAGGTCACAGAGGAGGACTTTGCAGCCAGTCCTGAAGATACTTGATAAAACAGGGTCAGATGAAAGGAGAGGAGGTCCTCCCCAATCAGTGGACTTGGAAAGGGGCAGGGAGGAGATAAGGAGGGAGGGAATGAGGGTGCATGATACAGCTGGGATACAGAGTTAATAAAATGTAACTAATAATAAAAAAATTAAAAAGAGAGAGAGAATTACCAGAGCTAGCCAGATAGTAGAGGCACATTCCTTTATTCTCAGCACTCAGAAGCAGAAGCAGGTGAATCTGTGAGTTCTAGGCCAGCCTGGTCTACAGAAGCCAGGGCTACACAGAAAATCCCTGTCTTGAAAAAGGGGAGGGAGAGGATTGAATGTGAATATCCAGGAATAGAGAGGCCATTGGTGAAGCAGGGGCTCTCTGGGCTCTGGAGAAGGGACCTTGTTTGCCCCCACTTTGGAGCGGGCTGTTTCTCTTCCTACTTGTCTAAGAAGTGACCCTGTCTGATCCTAAGTGGGGATTGTTTACGGCCGTCAGACAAGGTCCACCCTGCTGTCTGCTCCCAGCTGCTTGGCTCTCAGCACAGCCGGTGATTTCCCAGAAGGATGTGGAATTCCTTAGGCTGGTTGAGTGTGTGTACAACAGTTAGCAGAGAAAGAATCTCAGATGGGGACTGTCCTCAGGCCACCACTGTTTGGGCTTGTTCTGAGAGCTAGCAGTGTCTAGGCATCTAAGTGGGCCCCAAGGTTCAGCTAGGCCATTATGTGTAGGTCAACCAACAAGGTACATCACAGGGGAGATCAGGGGCCCTTGATGCTGGCCACCAATGGGGGAGCACTTGGCTTGCAGCCTTCTCTGTCCCATAAGTAACCACATGTGTGTTCCCTAGGTGGAGAAATGGGGTCCCTTTGACCTTGTGTACGGCTCGACACGGCCCCGAGGCTCCTCTTGTGACCACTGCCCTGGTACGTTTCAAGAAATAAGGCTAGGTTTTGTTTGTTTTTTGAGACAGGGTTTCTCTATGTGGCCTCAGCTGTCCTGGACTCACTTTGTAGACCAGGCTGGCCTTGAACCCACAGAGATCCACCTGCCTCTGGGATTATAGGCATATGCCACCACGCCCAGCTGAAATGGGGCTGTTTTCAGCTCCAGTCACCTGTTATCTCTGCTCTGTCTCTTCTTCTGCCTCATACCACCTCAGCCTTCAGAAAGGGCAGGAATCACACAGTCCACATTTTAAAACCAGCTTCCCTGGGGTATAACCAACAGATGGATTTGCTCACGCCCAGTGTTCTGTTGGGGTGGCTTCTAAACTAAGCAGACGTGTTCCCACCTCCACAAAGGGAGGGCAGAGGTACCCAGCATTCACAAAGGTGCTGTCCTGACCCTTAGTCCGGCTCTCACCATCTGAACCCATCTTTCCCCTGGTTCCTGGCAGCCTGGTATATGTTCCAGTTCCACCGGATCCTGCAGTATGCGCGGCCACCCTCAGGGAGTGAGCAGCCCTTCTTCTGGGTGTTCGTGGACCATCTGCTGATGACCGAGGATGACCAAGTCACAGCAGACCGCTTCCTTCAGGTGGGTGCCTCTGGGGGAGGGGCTTGGCCTGATTCCAGCGCTGGTGCCCTGGTGTAAGCAGGGCCACAAGAACATCAGGCGCCTGGGACACAGACTGTAGATTTTCAGGACACTGGTACCTCCAGGGACAGCCTTGAAGGGCAACCCTCCCCTCCTCCTCCACCACTCCTGTGCATGGAAGGCACGGCTACCCAGATCCATGTCCTCCTCCTCCTTTCACTTCTCAGCCTGCACACATGCGCACATCACACCATGGGGCATGCATGCCCACTCCATGCACTCACACATGCATGAACCTGCATACTGAACAGTCTGCTTTCCCATTTCACTTGAACTCTGACCATCGGTACAGCTGCCTGGGCCCAGTGGGCAGTTTCCTCCTGGGGTGATTTGGGCCGCCCAGTGGTGTGAGAGATAGCTGAGGTATGGATACAGGAGATGAGAGACAGCAAGGCTGTTACGCCCTCAGTTTGACCCACTGTGGGTATAGAGAAGGTGGGAACCCATAGGCACCAGGGCATTTCCCTGGGTACTTCACAGGGAAAAAAAAAAAAAGAAAAACCAATCAGGAATGAGAACCACTGCCTGTCAACAGCTGGGACTAAAGGTGTGCACCGCCATGACCAGCCGCTTGTGTTCCTGTTTATATTTGTGAGATGAATGGATCCTCTTCCCCTCTGAATGTGTTAATGATCTATGGTATTTGGGTTAGAGCTGCTGGGAATGAACTATCCTTGTATTCCTAGGAAAACCCACTTGGCCACAGTGTGTTATTCTTTTAACACGTGGCTAAAAACTGCTGAAAGTATTAAAGCAAAGAGTTTTGAACTGATGAGAGCAAAAGGAGGTTAGCCTGTGGTTTTCTTTCTTTCTCTCTTTTTTTAGGATCTTTGTCCGGTTTTTGTTTCTGCTTTGTGCAGCTTTAAAAAAATCTGTGTTGAGTGTGGTGGTACATGCTTTTGCTTTTAATCCTAGCAGAAGCAGGTGTAGCTTTGTGAATATGAGGTCACTCTGGTCTACCTAGTAAGTGCCAGGCAAGCAGAGCTACATGGTGAGACCCTGTCTCAAAAAGAAAAGAAAAGAAAAGAAAGAAAGAAAGAAAGAAAGAAAGAAAGAAAGAAAGAAAGAAAGAAAGAAAGAAATTCTATAAAAGCCCATCTATGAAAAAAAAAATTTTTTTTCATTGTTTCTTTGAGACAGGGCTTCTCTGTGTAGTCCCAACTGTTCTAAAACTCACTCTGTAGACCAGGCTAGCCTTCAACCCAGAGATCCACCTGCTTCTACTTCCCAAGTACTGGGATTAAAGGCTAGCATCACTGCTGCCCAGCGATTTCTCTGACTTTTCAGAGTTTGGGGAAGTTATATTATCCTAGAATATAACCCATGTAAGTGAAGTATAAAAAAGCATTTTTAGAGAGTTGATCAAAGAGATCTCTAGATTTCACTTCTTTGTAGTTAATTAAGGAAAAGTGAATAGTTGGGCATGGTGGCACAAGCCTGTAATCCCACCACTTGGGGAGGCAGGGGCAGGCGGATCTCTGATCACTGTGGGTTCAAGGCTAGCCTGCTCTACCAAGCATGTCTAGGACAGCCAAGGCTACACAGAGAAACCCTGTCTAAAACAAACAAACAAAAAAATCAAGAACAGAAAGAAAGGAAAAATGAATACAGTGCTAGCAGTGCCACTGAGGAGGCATCGCTGGCCTAGATGGTCTGTTGACTGTGTGTCTGTTTCCTGCTAACCCAGAGCCACTTCTTCCACAGATGAAGGCTGTGACCCTCCAGGACGTCCGAGGCAGAGTCCTTCAGAATGCTGTGCGGGTGTGGAGCAACATCCCAGGGGTGAAAAGGTATCTCCTCGGGGTAGGAGAACCTTAAAGGCTCAGGCAGAGAACACCATGCTTTCTGGTGGAGCCAGGCCTGCATAGACCCTTGCTCTACCTGGCTGTTTTTGAGAAACCTCTCATCCACCACAACTCTGCTCCAGGCACAACGGGGCTCAGGGTGTCCCTGTGTATGTAAGGACACTCCCCATGCTCACCCAATACCTCCTGATCTTGCCTCAGGACCAGATAAAAGTTCCCTCATTCTCAGGAGAACGTCCTCAGGCCTCGTTCTCCAACTGGGCAGGCCAGTTGCTCCCAGCCTTCTGAAGCCTCTGCCCTAGGAACACTCAGGCTCATACCTACACACTCATTCATATATACTGACTCAATTCCCTAGTGCGTTCACACACCCACACACAGACACCCACTTCTCACAGACATGCATGTGGATTGAGCTAGTTTGAACAGAGCCTTCCGAGGCGGTTAAGTCATGTTCTCTCCTGCCCTACTGTGAGTTTCTGGAAACTTCCCACCCACCTGCTCTATTCCATCATTCTCCTGGCTCCCAGCTTTCAGGACTTTGGTTGTAGTGGAGCGGAGGGGACATAACTTTCCTAACTATTCTTTTTGGAAGCTTCTGAGGTACTCTCCTGAGTACAGTCCTTCCCTGATCGTGTGGGCAGAGACATCTGCAAAGGGAGCCAAGCTCTGCTCCTGCCAGCTGTGGGCCTGTCGGGCATGTCACGCAGGCCATCCATTTTCTAACAAGCAAATGTACTTGAGAAGTAATTGCATGGTCCAGCCAATCCTCGCACATGTGCTGAATAAAAGGCACCTGCACCCCTTCTTTTGAGCTGGCCCCTATGGGAACCACCGTGTTTGAGCTTAGAGGGACAACTTCTTTTTTGGGGGAGGAAGGCGCTCAAAACAGGGGTCTCTCTGTATTCCTCCCTGGCTGTCCTGAAATTTGTGCCATAGACCAGGCTCTCCTCCAACTCAAGAGATCCGCCTGCTTCTGCCTCCCAAGTGTTTGGAGTAAAGATGTCCACCCCCACCCCCGGTGCCACAGCTCTTTTCTGATTGAGGTACCTGCTTTCTGTTAGGACCCTGCAAAGGAAGCTGAGGGCTCAGCGCACCTGCGCCTAATACTTAGTAAGGGCCACCTGTCTCCTGGAGGAAACTGGAGGCTGTTTGCTTTCAGGGTGACGCCACAGTGAGGTGAAAGACAGTTGTCCACTGAAGCAGGAACCGTTTGCCAAGTTCATGGGTGCTCATGAGCTATTTACTGTGTAGGGGGGGGGGGGAGGTGCTCATGAACACAGAGCACCGTATAGGGAAAGTAGAGCACAGTGCATTCTGACATGCCATTCGTTACTTTTTTCTGCCCCATGGGGTGGGATGGGGCTGGGCACACAGGAAGGGAGTGCCAGGATTCACATCTTCAAAGCTGGGGGACTCTAGGATGAAGCCCAAGGTTAGGAGCCCCTGGGGCATGGGTTTACCACTGAAGTGTAAGCTGGGTTTGTTGTCAGTCCTCCTGGGAGCAGTGAGCACACTTGAAGGGTCTCACTGATCTGTGTCCCCTTACTGTGTGTGGGTCATGGCTGGGATGGCTCACAGCCCCTCCTGGTCACTTCTAGGCTCCCTCTTCACCCCAAAAAGGAGTTCTGCTGGGCTGGAGCAAAGATCAAAGGCCTCAGCTGGTGGTGAGGTGGCGTGTGTGGTGGTGAGGTGGCACACACGCCTTTGCCTTTCATCCCAGCAGAGGCAGGTAGACCTCAGCCGTTCCAGGCTAGCCTGGGCTACATAGTACGTTCCCAGCCATCCAGGGCCACACAGTGAGATGCTGTCTTAGAGGCTTCGTGTAGGGAGAGATATTAGAGGTTTGGTGTTTCCAATCCATCCAGAGGCGGGTAGGAGGCGGGGCCTCTTCTCCCTCTGCTTCAGGCTGAGGAGACACTCAGCCTAGAAACCACAGGTGACCCTTCACCCTTCGGGAACCTCAAAAGCCCCCAGCCCCTGTCCCCACCCCAGCGCAAGGCCACATTTCTAACAGATGACTCTCCTGACTCTCCTCCGTAGCAAACACGTGGCCCTGACAGAGAAGGAGGAGCAGTCTCTGGAAGCCCAGGCCGGAACCAGAACCAAGCTAGCAGCCCAGAAAGTTGACCCTCTGGTGAAAAACTGCCTTCTTCCCCTGAGAGAGTACTTCAAGTTTTTTTCTCAGAACTCACTTCCTCTTGACAAATGAATCACCACACAGTGAAAGGAGAATCTTTCCTAGAACCACAGCAGCCTTCTTCCTACGGCCCTTATCCCCTCTGCAGAGTTTTCTTCCCTTTGCTTGCTTGCTGTTGGGTTTCTCCTGTTTGAGTCCCAAGATGCAAATTCCCCCCTGGGGCAGGTCACTGTGGGGGTGGGAGGTGCCCAGATCCTGAAGGGATATCCAAAAGTGTGTGTGTGTACCTGTTGTGAAGTTTTTCAAATATATTATAGGATTGCTACCAGTAGTGTTTTGGTGTGGTGTGTGAGAGGCCTTTATTCTTATTCGAAGTGGTGACATTCCCAAAGACACAAAGATGGTGGCTGTCTGCCGTTCTGCCACTTGTGGTCATATTGCCTTCACCACCTGCGCCTTCGGCACCTGCTATTGACTCTGCTGTGTGAAACCGCTCACCCTCCTGTCCCTACACAGGGCACCCCAAGCCACTGCCAAAGCTCACACCTGGTGAGCAGGCCCAGACCATAGCTCTCCTAACACATGGGAGCTTTCACAAGTGGATTCCCAACAGCCCTTGGCAGTTGGTCTTCCACTGAAGCTGAATCCACTGGGAAGTGGGGACTGGCCAGCCCTGGAAACCTGGAAATGTGGTGAATCCTGATTATCCACCCCCTTACACACACAACACACACACACACACACACACACACACACACACACACACACACCCCTCCACACCTCCGATCTAGACCGTCCAGCATTGAAGAGACTGTTGAGCCTGGGCTCCACAGCTGAGACTCAGGATCCACTGGGGTCTTTGCTGACAATGTCTGTGTTCTGGAAAGGAAGCTGGGCTAACATTGGACCCTGATGTAGGAAGAGGAGCTGTCTCGGGGCCAGGAAGTGGTTCAGTGCACAGATGCTCGCTCCCAAGCCTAATGACTTACGTTTGATTCTTAGAATGCACTCCTGTGAGTCATCTACTTTCCATGAGTACTGTGGTGTGTGTGTGTGCACATGACGTGGGAATTACTGCTTAGGCCAGTAATTCTGCCCACCCGATGGACCTGATGAGGCAGCAGAAGCACGGAGCGTGAGCCCATGCCACCACTGACCAGGTAGGTGGCAAAATCTCCGGATAGAGTGGCAGCCGCTCCCATCCAAGGTCTCAACACCATGGGTTCCCTGACATTAGTGTTCTTTCTCTTTTTTTTAAAACAGCTGAGTAGATTTGGTGCATGCCTTTAATTCCAGCTAGTGCTCGGGAGGCAGAGGCCAGCGTTGTCTCTTAAGCTAGTTCCAGCTGTTGCACAGAGAAACCCTGTCTTAAAATGAAAGTGGGGGAGGGACTGGAACAGCCAGGTGATGGTGGTACAGGTCTTTCATCTCAGCAGAGGCAGGTGGATCTCTTGGGTTCAAGTCCAACGTGATCTACAAAGGGAGTTCCAGGAGGATGACCCAGGTTGTTAAACAGAAATCCCATCTTGAAGAAAAAAAAAATCAAAACAAACACATTTGTCTATTTTGTGTGTGAATGTAATGTATATATATGCCACGGTGCTTGTGAGGGAGGTCAGAAAAACAGCCCGTGGGAATCTCTTTTCTCCTTTCACCGCCTAGGTAGGTGCTGGGGATCAAATTCAGATTGTCAGGCTTGGTAGTGAGCTCTTACCTGCTGAGCCATCTCACTGGTTGTGTCTGGCTTGTTTTTCTGAGGCTCCTCTCACCCCTACCTCCCAAATGTTAGGATTACAGGCGTACATCGCTGTGCCGGGCCAGTGTCTACTTTCTGTCAGCCTCCAAGCAGGGACCAGAGCCACCAGTGTGGGTCCTTTCTGTCCTCTATCTCGCCCTTCTCTCTCTCTCTCTCACACACACACACACAGTGGCATGGTCTACATTGAGAGATTTCCCCCCCCCTACATTTTCTAATCTTGCTCACAGCTCCCATTTACTATCCCTTGCGATTAGTTGAACAGTGACACCTGCCCTAGGAAACCCCCTTCCCCATCGACTCTCTGAGGCTGTGATATCACCCAGTGTGCCACAAGGGGCTTCGCTGATACACTTAGATGGCCAACCTCTCCCGGACCACTCTGGGCCTGCATGACTCACAGACAACCTACGGCAGGGGACTTGACTGTGCCAAGGGGCCAGCTGTGCAGCTGACGGAGCCAGGACTGGAGAGCCTCAGCCAAGGGTCACCTGGAGCCACGGACAGCTGGAGCCAAAGAAGGCCTCTCCACGAAAGGCAGGGCTGCTTTCGCTGTGTTTTGGATGCTTTACATGTATGTCTACGTACCATGGTGTTGTCTTGGTGCTTTGGAGACCAGACCAGGGCACTGAATCCTCCGGAACCGGAGTTACAGATGGCTGTGAGCCACCACGTGGGTGCTGAGAATCAAACCCGGGTCCTCTGTGGAAGAGCGACAAAACTGCTGATACATCTCTCCAGCACCCAGAACTGTTGTTTGTGAGTGTGTGTGTGTGTGTGTGTGTGTGTGTGTGTGTGTGTGTGTGTTAGCTATTGCTGCCCTGGGAAATGGACAGACCCTAAGAGAAAAGAACGACTTCCTCTAGCCAGGAATCACACTCAGCATTCACAAGTGAGGTTAAAGGCAGTCGGTATCCTGGTCTCCAGGGATGTGGCCTCCCGTGTGTAAAGGCCAAGCTGCCTTGCTAGAAGCCCCCATTAGATGCTTCCATCACACTTGGAAACCTTAGAGCCCAAGTCCGCAGGAACGTGATTCTTACTGGTTCTCGAATCCAACCATTGGCCTTCCCACCCCCTGCTTGCCAGGAACGTCGAGGGCAAAGCCAAAGCTATCTTCCAGCTGTAGAACCCCAACTACTCTTGGTTTGCCTTAAAACACCGTGCGTGTAAGCAGGGCATGGTGTTGGATGCCTGGAATCCCAGCACTGGGGAGGCCGAGGCAGGAGGAGGATTGAGGAGTGGACGCCAGCCGGGAGTGATCCTTTCTCCAAACCAAACCAAAGCACATGGCTGTATGCGCCGCCCATGTTGTGCCAGGTGTACATTGATGGAGCTTCTCAACCTTCCTGATGCTGCGACCTTTAAAGCAGCCCTGGCAGTGTGGCATCCCCCGCCGTAAAATCATTTTCGTTGCTACCTCTCAACCGTAATGTAAATGTCTATGTTTTCCCATGGTCTTAGGAGACCCCTATGAAAGGTTCACGGGGTCGCGACCCACAGGTCGCAAACTACTGTTTCACCACTGCTAAGTAACTTACTTGGTGGTGCAGCTTCCAGGAAGCAAAGGTGGGATTTGAACCCAGCCATGCGTCTGCCACCGTCCCGATGTCCCCTTCTCCTAGGATCTCCTCCCTGGCAGCTGCCCACAGCTTTGCCTAGTGTCTGCCTGTAGCCAAAATGTAATTCACTTTGCTGTGCTGAGATCCCTCTGCTTGGAGAGCAGCATTTGGCTTTCTAGGATTCCAGATTGGGGGGTGGGAGCACCGATTTTTGCAGAGCTCCAGTCCCTGCCACTTTGCCAGCCCATAGTATGGTCCAGCTGTGCCATAAAAGCCCCTTCAACCATTCGTCCCTACTGCCTGCCTGCAAGAACTGCTGGGTATAGGGGTGAGGGTCGGTCAGCCAGGTGGACACAAGGTGTGTCAGCCAGTGGGGGTCGCTGTTCAGACCCTGGACGTCAGTGATAGGCCCAGAGATTGCTGCCAAGTCGGGCCTATCCAATCAGGGAGAGCCTCGAGATGAGTGACAGAGTTGGACCGCGGGAGTGGAGCGGAGCTGGGGAACCTCTGGCCAAGGGAACATAGAGCCTGGTACCCCATCCACGCCATCTGCCCAGTGATGTCGAGGTGACTCCCCAACTCAGTCTTCTGCTGAGTCCTCAGCCGCTGCCAACGTAGTGAGGAGATGGGAGCAAGCGAGGCCGCCGATACTTGTGTTTCTCCTAGCACGGAAAGAAGGCAGCCCCCTGCCTGCAGGAGGCCTCCAAACCCCCCTCCCGGGCCGCTTCCCTCAGCAGCTCTGCTCACAAGCTCCGTTTCGCCTCTTCTGTTCTCGTGTGCTTGCACTGGCCTGTCTCTGCTCCTGGATGTTTACTGCCAAGAGGCAGTGGTTTCCTTTTCTTCCTTCCTTTCTCTCTCTCTTTCTTTCCGGGACGGGTTTTGAGACACGGTTTCTCTGCGTAGCCCTGCCCATCCTGGAACTCACTCTGCAGATGAGGGTGGCCTCAAACTCAGAGATCCACCTGCCTCCGCCTCCTCCTGAGCTCCAGGTTCTCAACTCCCTAGCAGGTGGGGCAGAGGGAGAAAGCCTAGAATGGAGTGAGGAGGGAGTCCTGAGACTCAGGCCTCACCTGTGAACCCTCAGGCCTCTCCTAGATCGAGTGCCAGGGGGCACAAGGTTGGAAACAAGATTGCCAAGTCTGGCTGGTCTTGGAGGACACGGAAATCCCATCCCGGGCTCCTCAACTTTTTCCCTCGCCAAGCTTTCGAAGACTGAGTGATAGGAGAGCTGGACCAGAGTGGAGCCCCCCGCTTTCCCTCCCTTTTCTCCCTCCTGCCGGCCCCCTCGCCCCTCACACCTGCCTGCCTTCTACTTTTCATTTCCTAGTCTTTAGATTCTCCGCTAGTCAGCCCCAAGTCCCCGTCCCTGCCCGGGATCGGACTGGGCAGCCCTCGGGAGTCGGAGAGCCTGGGCGGAGCTCCCCGCCTCCTGGGTGAGGGCGGGACCCCAGGATGAGGCGGGAGGGACGGGCCGAGGGCGGGGAGATCGGGCCCCAACCAATCGCCCGGGCGCGCAGCGCGAGCGGGCGCAGTTGCAGCCGGTCTCCCGCGGCCGAAGCTTCGGCGGCCCCGGCTCTCCGCGCCCCAGGTCCTCACGGCCCCGCTTCTCCGTGGCTTCCGGGGGGGGTCCCGGGACCCCGGCAGCTGCGGCACCCGCCCCGCGCTCCAGCAGCCCGGAGTCTGCGCCCGCACAACCATGAGGAGGCTAAAGTGAGTTGGTTCGCGGTCGCGTCCCGTGAGTGGGGTGGGGTTGGGGAGGCGTGGGTTGGAGCCGGGATCCACCCGGAGTGGGGTCGAGGGCGCCCAGCGGCGGCGCAGCGGCCCGGGACTGTCACAGACGTGCCCGGTCCCCGGCGGCCAGTGGCCACACCTGGACCTGCCTGCGCGGACGGCAGGGGGCGGCGCAGGGCCAACCTGGGGCACCCGTGGACCAGACTGGGCGCGTGGGCGGCTGGTGGGAGGAGGAAGCGCCAGAGCGGAGGCAGGAGGTGAAGGCTCGCGGCGGCCCCGGGCGCAGACTGCCCCGCCGCCGCCCTTCTCCCTGCCGATTTCCAAGAAGGAAGGATGTGTGTGTTACTTCAAAGGCCAGTTTGGGAACGGGTCACCTCCTCCGTGTCCTTGGCTTCCCTCACAGTGGGAGTGTGTGTGTTTCAGGACTGGGCAAGAGCTGGCTAAAGTGTCCACAGCCGCTTTTAGAGTAGGGTGAGGTGCTCCCCCTTCCCCCCCCCCCCCCCAGCCTCCCACCATCAACAAGACCGCGGCTGGGTTGAGACGCAAACACTTTCTTGGGAGGCTGGGAGAAGCATCCGAGTCACCAAGGGTCTGGACTATGGGATCCCACCACGTTTGGTTTCAGACGGTCGTGTCTCTCACCTGCCTCCCTTGGGCCATCACGTGTCGCCATCCTTAACATTCAGATGTAGCGTTTCTCTTCAGGAAGGTTGGGTCGCAGGCAGGGGACCCCTGCAGACCTCAGCGGGGGCTCTCATTGCCCTTTCTGGGCACACAAATCAATTGTCTTTTAGAGGTTTTTTGGAGGGGGGTGGCTGTCAGTTCCTGGGGATTTGCAGTGGCTGGTTGGAGTCTCTGAGGTCTCCGTGGAGAACCCAGCTGAGGGTCCTCCCGCTTAGGGAGTTCAAGTTCTCACAGGTGTCGATGTTTTGTGTCCGAACCGGTTTGGAAGAAGCCCGGTCTCATTTGTCTTTCTGATGGCTTCTTTTCCAGTCCCGGTCTGCTCTTGCTGCTGTTTATCAGCCTCTACGCTGGTAAGTTGGGATGCCTCATGCCGTGCTCAGTGCATAGGCAGAGCATTAGGGAAGCCCTCGTGAAGCCTGCGTTCTAACCACTGCCCCCTCAGCCTCCCCGTTGGAGAGAGCTGGGTCCCCACACCCAGGCTTGTTATACAGGGTCCGAGGCCATAATTAGGAGAGTGGTTTTCCAGACTCTCTGCTCCTCGTTGTATTTCTTGCTTGGGGTCAGTGGAATGTCCCTCCTGGTCTCTTTGCAGGGGGGGCCATAAAAGCCTCCTTGGGGGACGGCGGGGGGGGGGGTGGGGCACTGGCACATAGGTGGAAGCTTGCACCTCACATCTGAGTTGATGCCAGACCCTCTCCCCCACGCCCCCCAATGCACCTTAGTAATAAATTCCTCTCCTGCCTGGGAGTGGGGGATGGGGCGGGGGGTGGGGTTAGGATTGGTGTTTACATCCCGAGTATATAAATGCTGCCACTCTTGAATCTCCCGCAGAGGAGAAGGTTGAGGAACTTCATGCGATGGTGGGCAGCGATGTGGAACTCAGCTGTGTTCACCCGGACGGAAGCCATTTCGACCTGACCGATCTGTTTGTCTATTGGCAAATCGATAACCAAAGCAGGGTGGTGGCCTACCACCTGCCTAAAGGGCCCACGGCACTGCATGTGGACGACCTGTACAAGAACAGGGCCCATCTGTCACAGGACCGCATGAAGCAGGGTGACTTCTCTCTGAACCTGCAAAACGTCACCCCCCAGGACACTCAGGAGTTCACCTGCCTGGTGTTTAGGGAGTCCATGGAGTTCAGACGGGACTTGAAAGTGGTGGTCAGGCTGCACGTGGCAGGTGAGACTCTCACAGCGGAGAGCTGGCTTTACCTAACTGCGTGATGCTCTGGGAAAGTCCCGAGGATAGCCCTGTCCAGCCTTAGCTTGGCGATGGGCTTCTGTGCATCCGGGAAGTTCTGACCTGAGCCGAACCCATGGCCCGGGTTTCAGAGAATTGCCCCATCTAGCTGTCTTTGTCGTCAACTGCATTAATTACTCTTACAGCGCTATGACCAAGATCCCTGATCTAGACAACAAGGGAACAGAGATGCACCACAGTTTTAGGTTTCAGACAGCCCTGGAGGGGCACAGGCATGACAGGGCAGCATAAGCGATGGCAGGAGCGAGTGTGTGGCAGGGGCTGTTCAGCACACAGCACATCAGGATGCAGAGACCGGGGCAGGCTGGCTCTCGGCTCTTTCTTCCTCTTCTTTTAAAACTGTTATGTGTATGGGTGTTTTGTCCGCATGTCCGTCTCTATAGCATACCACACGCATGCCTGGTGGCCACAGAGGGGATCAAATCTGTGAGACTGGAGTTACAGATAGTTGGTTGTGAGCTTCCGGGTGGGTGCTGGGAATCAAACCCAAGTCCTCTGGAAGAGCAGCCAGTGCTCTGAACCATCCCTTCAGCCCCCTCCCCCACCCCCCTTTTTCTCTTCTTATCCCTTCTCCCAGTTCATGATGGGAGTCAATTCAGTTAATCCTCTAGACCCCGGCATAGACAGGCTTAGAGGCCCATCCAAGAACAGGTGGGTTTCAGTCCAGTCAGGTTGGCAGTGGCGATTTAACCATCCGTATCTGTGGAGCAGCATGAGTCTCTCTAGCTTTGCTCTGGTCAGCCTTCCCCACAGGCCTGAGCCTCCCTCACCACTGCTCCCTCTCCCTTCAGCGAACTTCAGCACACCCATCATCAGCAGAGACGGACCCTCTGCCCCAGGCCAGGAAGTCACCTTCACCTGCATGTCCACCAATGGCTACCCCAAACCCAACCTGTACTGGATCAACAAGACCGACGAGAGCCTGATCGATGAGACCCTGCAGAATAACACTGTCTACTTGAACAATCGGGGCCTGTACAACGTGGTCAGCATCTTAAGGATCCCTTGGATGCCAAGTGTGGATGTTAGCTGCTGGGTAGAGAATGTGGTTCTCCATCAGAACCTCACCAGCGTCAGCCAAGCAGGTGAGGCCCGGGCTGAGGGACTCGGGGGTGGGAGGGGGTCATCCAGGTTGTGGGATAGGAGAGGCCCAGCAGTATAGACTCCTGCTCTGGCCTGTCACAGCAATCCTCACCCAGGCAAACGATTAGCATGGCTGTCACCCACAGCAGCTGTTTCTTGGACTCTTGAAGCAGTGAGGACCGAGGCTCTGCAGGGCCCCGTGCACCTCAGCAGCCACAGGACTTGGTCAGGATGGGGTGCCCCATCAGGACACTCCCCCACATTCTTTGTCTTTGAACATGTGGGCCCTGCACCCCAGTCAGGGAATTCAGCTGGGCTTGGCTGCTGGCTGGGTCCTCTATGGACCACAAAGACATGACCCTCCCCGTAGCTGCCCCAGTCCGGGTAAGGGACCAAGCCAGTCAACAGGTAGCAAAAGAGTGATTCTACTAATAGGAAGTCTCCCAAATAGGTGAACCACACAGGGTGAGAAGAGGCCAGGAGCTGGGGTGCAGTGGGGTAGGGAGTAGTTGTCTTTCTTGGAGTTGGTGATGGCACTGTACTGGCATACTTTGTGCCGGTGAGTTGCCCCACAGTGGGCACCTGGGCGTTGTGCAAACATCAAAAAGCATCATGTATGTCTTACATACCTCTCCCTTATAAAGCCCTGGGGCCGTGGTTCTAAGTCTCATAGTAGGACAGGGGATCTTCACCAGAGAGAGCACCCCTATGCCAGCCTGAGATTTTAAAACTTGTGCAGTGATGGTAAGGAAGCTTTTCAAAACCTGCTGTCCCTTTCTTTCCATGTAAAAGGCCCCTCCCCCACCCCCATCAAGGTCCTTTAAGTCCTGGGCATTTTCCCATTTCCTTTTTTTTTTTTTATGGAAGGGGTGGAGCATTGAGACAGGGTTTCTCTGTATAGCCCTGGTCTCACTCTCTAGACCAGGCTGGCCTCTGCCTCTGCCTCCCAGTGCTGGGATTAAAGCCCCATGTCAGCACCGCCTGGGCCCCACTTCCTTTCTTTAGACCGGGTCTTGGGTAGCCTAGGTTACCCTCAGATTCACTGTGTAGCCAAGGTGACCTCCTTGAACTCCTCATCCTCTCTGCCTCCACCTCTGGTGTGCCAGGATGGCAGGTGTCCATCCACGCCCAGTTTATGTGGTGCTGGGGTTGAGCACAGTGCCTAATGTGTGCTAAGCAATCGCCGCACCCACTGGGCCATGTCCCCATCACCTTTCTCTTTCCTACAGATAATTCCACTGGAAACAACGACAAGATCACAAAGAACCCACAGGAAGCTGACAAGCAGAATACTAACGTCCTTTTAATCCTCCTTGCTGTATTACTGGTGGTAGCGGGTGCCGTGTCCTCCTGGGCTTGCAGAAGCCGGTGTCCCCGCAGAAGCTATGCAGGTTTGCGTGAGACTCATTGACCATGTACCCTAGGGCCGTGAATGCTTTGCTTTTTACAGCTTACTACACCCTTTGAGAGAATTCCATTCAACCTCCAATTTTAAAGTAGGGCGGTGGTGGCGCATACCTTTAATCCCGGCACTGGGAGGCAGAGGCAGGCTGATCTCTGAGTTTGAGGCCAGCCTGGTCTACAGAGTGAGTTCCAGAACAGCCTGTCTGGAAAAACAAAATAGAAATACCACCACAAAAAGAAAAAGACCCTCGGGTTTTGGTAGAGCCAAGCTGGTGGCAAGAAGCTCACAGTCCAGGCTGATGAAGTCTAGGTGGGGTAGACGGGATGGAGAGCGCTCAGGCTCACACTTCTCCCCTAACAGACTAAGTTCAGTTCTGTGGGAGGCAACTGATGCCATTCTCTGTCTGGAGTTTCGTGCACTCTAAGGGGCAGGCCCACCCAGAGCCTGGCGAAGTCTCATGTCCTGTGCGTGGGCCAGCACTCCAGGGTCTACGGCCAGGAAGCCCAGAAATGCCGCAGGACTCAGAAAGTGGATGAAGCTAAATGGGGCTCTGTGTTAGTTCACGGCCTGGCCCGGCCCGGCCCCTGACAGACCTTTCTTCCCTTTCCCATGAGCCACCCTTGTGTGTCCAGTTTGTGGCTACCACCACTGGTGCCTGATGTTCTTGCTGATCTGGCGAGGCTTGTGCCAGGGGCTCCTGAGCTGGGGACACACAGCGTTTTTTTTCTTTTGTAAAAAAATATTTTTACTTGTATGTGAGAGTATGTATGTACCACCTGTGTAGAAGCCCATGGAGGGCAGAAAAGAGCATTGGATCCCCTGGAACTAGAGTTATAGCTGGTTGTGAGCCACCATGTGGGTGCCAGGAACTGAACCCAGGTCCTCTGCCAGAGCAGCAAGTGCTCTTAACCACTGAGCCATCTATCTCCCTGCACGTTTGCTCCTTGAAATCCATCTTCCCTTAAAACCAGGGTTTTCTGGAGATCCCCCATGGGAGCCGAAGCAGGAAGCCTTGGGGAAGATGTAGGCAGAAAGGGTGACGCTGCTGTGAGCCCACCTTCCAACAAAGCCTTAACCTCTCTGCTTTGACCCACAGGTCCCAGACATGTAGAGCAGGAACTCCAAGGTAAGTGTGCCTGGGGTGAAAAGTGGGTTGGCTGAGCTGCTGTGACTTTTCACGCCTTTGGCTGGTAGTTTTCAACCAACCGAACCAATCAGGGTTTCTGATGATTGCAGAAACCCTGTCCTGTGATGGAAACTTCTGGACCTTGCACAGTAGAGTCTGACATAGGTCCCTGGGCCCCTCCTGCCTCTGCTCTGTGTGACCCATGGTCTCTGTGCATCCTGTAGTCTGGTGAAGAGTGACAGGTAGACTCCATAGTCTCCTGAGGTGTGTGGAGTCATAGCCCAGTTTTGGGAAAACAGCTACATGAGGTATTGGTTGACCACCAAGAGATATCCCTGGCTTTAAGGACTTTGGCCAAATCAAAGTGACTATACTTCCCCGACCCTGGCTTTTCTATCTTAGAGATGGTATGTGCTACAGGACCTGTTTGCTTACCAAGGTGAACAGGCTTTCCTGGCTGACACCCGCCTCTCCACTCCAGGCTAGACAAGCTACTGTCAGGCCGCTTTGAGACAAACTTAGGCCACCTGGTCCTAACCCAGTCACGTGGCTCCTATATAGCCTGCTGCTTCTAGTTTTTAACCCACTTCTCCCTCACCAGTCTGAGTCCCGGGAAGAATCATTTCCTTGTCCACAGAATTAAAACACTGCAGATGGCTCAGCAGTAAGTGCCTGCCTTCACCGCCTCTCTCTTTCTCCTTTCCCTCCAAGACCATGCCTGACAGGCCTCTGCCCAGGATGTGGACAGGGTCTCTGTGAGATGCCAGCCGGTGGAAGTCAGGCAGCTTCAGAATGGACTCCCACCGGCCCGGTGGCAGAGGGGGACTATGAGCTGCCTGCTATGTGCTGTGATGGAGGAGAGGGCTCCTCGGCCTCCAGAGGCACAGAGGGTTGATCCCAGAAACCGTGCGGGAGACCGTTCTAGTGAGCAGCAGCAACCTCAGAATATGGCGCCCCAGCGAGAACCCCCCCCACCCAGCCGTCAGCACAGAGGGTATCAGCTTGAGATGTCCTTGCCCAGCGGGAGCGTCTAGAGAACGTGATTCTTTGTAAAAGGTCCTTTGAGCTACTCTGAAAGCACCTGCAAAACCCACGGGACACCGTTTCCCTGCAGGACCTTCAGTAATGGAGAAAACCTGACCTTGCTTGTTTGGGTCTTAATCTGTTTGGGCCTCCTAGAGGACATATGGGGTTTTGTCTACAGCAAACCTACTGTTGGCTGATAATGGCTGGGCCTGGAAGTTTTGTTTCTAGATGGTTCTGCAAAGTTGGCTGCTTGGTAACATAGGTGTGCCCAAGCTCCAGAGAGATGCAGTTAGGGGCAAGGACTCTACAGTGGGACACAGCATCTGACCCTCATTGTGGGCAAGCTTCTTTCCAACCCAGAGGCCTGGAAGTGTTGGACAGCCAGAGCCTGCTTGCTCAGTGCTGACACGGGTGTGAAATCTCAGGCCCCAACGGAGCAAGAATGAGGAGTGAACCCTGGCCTCAGGCTCAAGCGGACCAGTATTAAAATTTTTTCTGCCCACCAGTTCTTCACACGGACGTATGTAAAGACCCACTTCACTTCTTCCTCCAAAGCATTACACATCTGTAAAATAGCAATTGTCATGATGGGGGCTTGAGTTGGCAGCTACAGCGAAGACGCACAAGGACTACTGGGGTGCAGTGACCCCAGGACCTATATTGGGGAATTAGTACCTCCCCAAGCAAGGCCCACAGTTCCAGGACACAGCAATGTCCCAAGTGTCCCGGGAACTCAGCAGGATGATCCAGTCTATTTTCAGTTTTCTGGTCAGAAAGAGGTCTGACCCTGCAAGCCAGATGCCTTGGACAGCAGACACTCTGTTCCCATCGTTTATGAAGACATTGGGAACTTCCCCCCACCTGTGCCTCTGTGGGCTCTGCCGTCATCATCTGCTGATCCCAGCAGGTCCCAGGGAATCCTGGGAGCCCACCCCAGCACATCACATCAACATTCATGAGACCTGCCCTGTAACCTCGGCCTCCTTCAGCCCAGAACCTTGCTGTCACTCTTTCTCTGGGTTGTGGATGGGCTGGGTTTCAGTGTTCTCATAGTGATGTCCAGAAACCTAACAAGGGAGTAAATACAAGATGTGCTTTCTACCTTGTGTGTGGTGGCTTGTGTCGATGTGGCCAGTCTGGCCCCAATCCGTTCAGCTGTCCACAGGGAAAATCACCCTTGGGGCTTGTTACAGCCCTGATTCAAAAGCCAGAGATATCTCTTAGCATCCCATAGAGCCCAAAAAAGTGTCCTAAGAGGGAAAGCCCTGACTTCAGCAGTCACCTGGTAGATGGACAGGGCAGGTAGCTCCCAGTTTGAGCTCATCTCAGTGTGTTCTGTGCCTCAGTTTTCTCTTTGTGAAGTGAGGCACCTGGAAATGGAGTCTTAATGCTCTGGTTAGCTCAGACATCTCTGATAGAGACCCTGGCCTGGGGATGACAGCTGTGGTTCTGGAATGGCCAGCCTCAAGAGAAGGTGGCTTCTCTCCACTGTAGCCACACAAGGAAGTATGGACGTGTGGGAGCTCTGTGGTGGATCTGAGGAGGTTTCAGCTGGCGCTTACAGAGTACCCATCCCTGCCAGGGTCTAGCACCAGCTTGGCTGCTGTATCTCCAGGCCAACCTTTTAAGCAGAGGACAAGCCCATGCATCTGATGAGGCAGCTGCTGTGACAATCTGGGAATGATTTCATACTTCGAAGCCCTTTGTCCCACCCACAGCTTGGAAGATGCCAGGAGTCCAAGGCAGTGTAGGTTTGTGGAGTCTCTGGCTAAAAGCCTCCTTGCCCACCCCAAGGCTCCCAGAGTTAGAGATTCTCAAAGCCCCCACCCCATGGCTGATCATTGGTAGGGAGGTCCTCCTATTCCAGCAATTAGAGATGAGGGCTTCATGCTGACTCCTTTCTAGATAGTCCCCTCCCCCAAATCCCCGACACACCCTTCAGACATTCCCACGAAGCTCCTGGGAACTGGTGGACTGTTGGCTTCAAACAGCATAGCCCAAGCCCAGAAGAACTGGGCTCCTGATTTCGCCATCTCCCTTCCTTCCCCTTCTCCCTCCCCTTTCCAGCAGGCCTTTAGTCACATGTGGCCACCACACACCGCTTGTCCCCGCCTCCCCTTGACAAGCAGGAGCTAAACAATCCCCACCTCCTCTGATCTCCTTTTCCAGACCCCTGACCTTGGAGCTTTTTCCAAGGGCTCCACCCATCCTCTGAGGGTGTGAATAGTTTGGAGGGCCTCTTTCATCCAAGCGAGCTGCTGTGGGTAGGAAGCAGGCTATGGGAAATGTCCAAGAGCTAGGACATCTTCCCCTCCCCTTCCCGGCAAACGCTCCCAGGTTAACTGTTGAGTTGGGAAGCTGCTGGCTGGGGGAAGGATGTAAGAAAATTCCACTTTTTTCAATGGGGTCTGAAAGTCACTTACGCAAACAGACCCTATGGCTCTATCCTGAGTATCACTGCTCCCCTTTTCCAGTGCTGCACATAGCAAAAGCTCATGAGCTCTGTTGTTCAGCAGCCCTGTACTCCGTCTCTGAGCTTCATCTGCACTGTGACAGCCCCTTAAGTCAGTCCTCAGCACTAGGACAGAAATATGGCCTTGGGGAACACGCACTGGGTCAGACTTCTTCAGGTGCATTTAGCAGCTCTATCTATAGGTGGACACCGATATACACGGCCCCCATAGCCCCAACATAGGGAGAAAAGACAGCCCTTTTGGTAAAGAGTGCAGACTTGTAGGAGCTGTTTGTTGACATCAAGATGTGACACAGAAGATGCGTGTGGAGGGGGGAGGAGGGATGTGTTATGATGATCTCCTAGAGCCCACAGGAAAAAAAAAATTGCCAACTAAGACTTTAGACGCAGACAATGCCAAGACAATCCTCCACCCACACTAGAATTTGGTGGGAGGAGTACTTGAAAAAGTACTTTGTAACCAGCTGAAACCACCCAAGGACTGAGCTAAATGTCTGGGAAAGATGGTGAGCGGCAAGTAACAAAGTAACAGCTTTATCGCTTTGGGCTAGGAGGAGCTCGAAAGTTGAGAGTCAACTAACCCGACTCTGTCTGGGGTGTGGGTATCTTATAGGGCCCCTAGGTCCTCCCTTTTCCCTATTGGTTCTGTTTGGGTACCTACCCCTGTGCCTTCCTGCTGTTTCTTCTCTTAATGTCTTCTCAGAACAAGAAGCCACCACCTCAGGGAGCCCATTTTTTTGTTTTTGTTTTTGAGGCAGGGTTTTTCTCTGTGTAGCCCTGGCTGTCCCGGAACTCGCTCTGTAGACCAGGCTGGCCTTGAACTGATAGAGATATTCTGCCTCTGTCTCCCAAGTGCTGGGATTAAAGGCAGGTATCACCACTGCCCAGCGTGGTAGCCTGCTTTGGCTTTCCCTGTCTACCTATGTCCCTTTAACTCAACTCCAGTCCCCCACTCTCAGAGAAAGACACGGACTGTGCGGGAATGGAGCCATGACTGCTATAGCTGCTTAGTGCTAAGAAGGAGCAGAAGCTAGTGGGTTGTCTGTCCAAGAGAGAGGGGATTCTTATGAGGCAGGCTCCTGGGCCCAGTCCAGGGGACTGAAGTCCAGTCAATGAAGGGCATCTTGAGGTCTTCCACTTGGCCTGTTCAGAGCTTAGGTTCTCCCCACAGCCTCATCCCGAACTATGTGACCCAAAGCTGCCCGGCGGTGGCGCACGCCTGTGATCCCAGCACACTCGGGAGGCAGAGGCAGGTAGATCTCTGTGAGTTCAAGGCCAGCCCGGTCT